ATATTGGGATGCCTCATATCAAGTACAGGGCACCATCGTGTCATTGGTGGAAGCCGTTGCCATGTCGTTGGAAGGCGAATTCCGAAAGTACCTTGCTGGTCTGGTGCCCTTGATGTTGGACACACTCGAGAAGGATAATACACCGCGTCGCCAACCTTCAGAAAGGATCCTCCATGCCTTCTTAATATTTGGTTCCAGTGGAGAGGAATACATGCATCTCATCATTCCTGCTATTGTTCGCCTGTTTGATCGAGCGCAAAACCCGCAGAGCATCCGCAAGTCCGCAATCGACAGTCTGACAAAACTGTCACGACAAGTCAATGTTTCTGACTTTGCATCTCTCATGGTGCATTCCCTATCTCGTGTTGTGGCGGGCAGCGACCGCATCTTGCGCCAGGCTGCTATGGACTGCATTTGTGCTCTTATCTTCCAACTTGGCCAGGACTTTACGCACTACATTCATCTTTTGAACAAGGTTCTCAAGCATCATCAGATCACTCACGTCAACTACCAGGTTCTGGTGACGAAGCTCCAGAAGGGCGAGGGGCTCCCTCAGGATTTAAACCCGGAGCAGAACTATGCTTCCATGACCGATGACAACAATTTCGCTGAAATCGGACAAAAGAAGATTGTGGTGAACCAACAACATCTCAAAAATGCATGGGATGCCTCACAGAAGTCCACTCGTGAGGATTGGCAGGAGTGGATACGTCGATTCAGCGTTGAGCTTCTCAAGGAATCTCCTTCTCCGGCCCTGCGAGCCTGTGCCAGCTTGGCTGGTATCTATCAACCATTGGCAAGAGATCTCTTTAATGCCGCGTTTGTGTCGTGTTGGACTGAGCTGTATGATCAATACCAAGAGGAATTGGTTCGATCGATTGAGAAGGCTCTTACATCTCCGAACATTCCTCCGGAGATCCTGCAGATTTTGTTGAATCTTGCCGAGTTTATGGAGCACGACGACAAGGCCCTTCCCATCGACATCCGTACCCTTGGTAAATACGCTGCCAAATGCCATGCCTTTGCCAAAGCTCTTCACTACAAAGAGCTGGAGTTTGAACAGGATCAGAACTCGGGTGCTGTTGAGGCGTTGATCACCATCAACAACCAGCTGCAACAGTCCGATGCCGCCATCGGTATCCTTCGCAAAGCTCAAGCATATCGCGATGTGGAGCTTAAGGAAACCTGGTTCGAGAAACTCCAGCGCTGGGATGAAGCCCTGGCTGCCTACAAACGGCGAGAGAAAACTGATCCTGACTCGTTTGGCATCACGATGGGTAAGATGCGGTGTCTGCACGCTCTTGGAGAGTGGAAGGTGCTGTCAGATCTTGCTCAGGAGAAGTGGAACCAGGCATCCTTGGAGCATCGCAGGGCTATTGCTCCTCTGGCTGCTGCCGCCGCCTGGGGCCGCCGCCAGTGGGAGTTGATGGACTCTTACCTTGGAGTCATGAAGGAACAGTCTCCCGATCGGTCGTTTTTCGGGGCTATTCTCGCCATCCACCGCAACCAATTCGAAGAGGCCAACATGTATATTGAAAAGGCACGGAACGGCCTGGACACCGAACTGTCAGCGCTGCTTGGAGAATCGTATAATCGCGCTTACAACGTCGTCGTCCGAGTCCAGATGCTTGCCGAATTGGAGGAAATCATCACTTACAAACAAAATATTGGTGATCCCGAGAAACAAGAAGCCATCCGCCAAACCTGGAACCATCGCCTGCTGGGTTGTCAGCAGAACGTAGAAGTCTGGCAGCGGATGCTCAAGGTTCGCGCACTCGTGACTGCTCCTCGCGAGGATCTCGACATGTCAATCAAGTTCGCCAACCTGTGCCGCAAATCTAACCGCATGGGTCTCGCGGAACGATCGCTTGCGGCATTAGAGACAGTCGTCACTGACGACAATGGCACGCGAACTATTGCGCCTCCCGAGGTCACTTACGCTCGACTCAAGTTCAATTGGGCAAGTGGCCACCAACAAGACGCACTCACATCGCTGAAAGAGTTTACCTCTGGGTTGACCGATGACCTGTCCAAGTACAATGCGCTCACACACGCCGCAGATCACCACGGTATCAATGGTGTTAACGGCATCACAGAATCGAATCATGCAGATGCCACGGGTGTGCGCGACCGGGTTGGCGACGTTGCCAAATTCCGGAAGCTTCTTTCCAAGAGCTACCTGCGGCAAGGCGAGTGGCAGACAACCCTTCAGAGAGGCGATTGGCGTGCAGAGAATGTACGTGATGTCCTCAGCGCGTACTCAGCTGCGACCCAGTACAACCGTGATTCGTACAAAGCGTGGCACGCCTGGGCTTTGGCCAATTTCGAAGTCGTCACGACAATTGCCAGTCAAGCGAGCCGGGACGGTGTACCTGCACCAGTTCCAGCACACATTGTGACGGAGCATGTCATCCCTGCCATCCGCGGTTTCCTCCGGTCTATCGCCTTGTCTTCAACCTCGTCTCTGCAAGACACTCTGCGTCTGCTTACGCTCTGGTTCACTCACGGTGGTGACCATGAAGTCAACACGGTCGTCACGGAAGGGTTTACTGCAGTCAATATCGATACTTGGCTCGCTGTTACTCCTCAGCTAATCGCGCGAATCAACCAGCCCAACATCCGAGTTCGCGGCTCCGTTCATAGATTGCTTGCCGAGGTTGGAAAAGCACACCCACAGGCTTTGGTGTATCCGTTGACAGTGGCAATGAAATCGAACGTCACTCGGCGCTCACAGTCTGCGAGCAACATCATGGAAAGTATGCGCCAGCACAGTGCCAAACTCGTCGAGCAAGCCGATCTTGTGAGTCATGAATTGATTCGAGTCGCGGTATTGTGGCACGAACTCTGGCATGAAGGTTTGGAGGAGGCCTCCCGTCTCTACTTTGGTGACCACAATGTCGAAGGCATGTTCGCGACGCTTGCGCCTCTCCATGATATGCTGGATCAGGGGGCCGAGACGCTCCGAGAGGTGTCGTTCGCGCAGGCCTTCGGGCGCGATCTCGCGGAGGCTAGGCACTACTGCATGCTCTATCGCGATACGGAAGAGATTGGTGATCTAAACCAAGCATGGGATCTTTATTACACTGTATTCCGCAAGATCAGCCGTCAACTCCCCCAGCTTTCCATTCTTGACCTCAAATACGTCTCCCCTCGACTTAAGGATTGCTCCGATCTTGACCTTGCTGTGCCGGGAACGTACCAGAGTGGTCGCCCCGTGATTCGAATTATGAGCTTTGATCCGATCCTACATGTCCTCCAGACCAAGAAACGCCCGCGACGCATGACGCTCAAGGGCAGTAACGGAAGTTCTTACATGTATCTTGTCAAGGGACACGAGGATATTCGACAGGATGAGAGAGTCATGCAGCTCTTTGGTCTGATCAACACTCTTCTCGACAACGATGGCGAGAGCTTCAAGCGCCATCTCTCAGTACAGCGTTTCCCCGCCATTCCGTTGTCCCAGAGCTCTGGTCTGCTGGGATGGGTGTGGAACAGTGACACCCTGCACGCCCTCATCAAGGAATACCGTGAGAGCCGCCGCATTCTGCTCAACATCGAGCACCGCATCATGCTTCAGATGGCACCGGATTACGACAGCCTCACTCTCATGCAGAAGGTCGAAGTGTTTGGATATGCCATGGACAATACTACCGGCAAAGATCTGTACCGCGTGCTATGGCTCAAGAGCAAGAGCTCCGAGTCTTGGCTGGAGCGGCGTACCAATTATACCCGGTCTCTTGGAGTCATGTCAATGGTTGGGTACATCCTTGGTCTGGGAGATCGGCATCCTTCGAACTTGCTTCTGGATCGCACAACTGGCCGGGTTGTCCACATCGATTTTGGTGACTGCTTCGAGGTGGCGATGCACCGGGAGAAGTATCCCGAACGAGTGCCATTCCGACTTACGCGCATGTTGACTTTCGCCATGGAGGTCAGCAACATCGAGGGAAGCTACCGCATCACCTGCGAGGCTGTTATGCGTGTTCTGCGGGAGAACAAGGACTCGTTGATGGCTGTTCTGGAAGCCGTAAGCTTTTTCCCCTTTTCTTTTCGCATGCCTACCAGCCAACTAATTTCCTATCTAGTTCATTCACGACCCCTTGATCAACTGGCGTCTCGGCGCACAAGAATCCCCGGACCGCGTATCACTGACGGCTGAACGCCGACAGTCAATCATCGAGGGTATCAACTTCGAGCACGGAGTACAGCCGAGCAACTTCTCTCGCCCCCGCCGGCCATCCATCCTCGAAGGCGGTATCCTCGATACCCAGGAAAATGTTCCTCAAGAGGCGCGCGAGGCACAAAACGCCCGAGCCCTGCAAGTGCTTGCGCGGGTCAAGGAGAAGCTGACGGGTCGCGACTTCAAGCACTACGAGGAGCTGGGTATCAGCGACCAGGTGGACAAGCTACTCGCGCAAGCCACAAACGTCGAGAACATCTGCCAGCACTGGATCGGATGGTGTAGTTTCTGGTGATTCCTGTTTGTTTCTGACTGGACTTCGGAGTTTGTTGGAGTCTGTTGACGACGTGATTACGAGTGTTTCCGTCTCTTCATTTACCTTGTATGTAGACTTACCTGGCCTTCCCTTTTTTTGCTTGTCTGTTTTTGGCCTCTTTTGGGGTGCCTGTTGGTGGTGGTTTCTTCTTGCTCTGTCAGTCCCGTCCTTAATGATTGATATCCGGACTTGCTTGAGTATAGTTAGCACTGCGCATGTGAAATCTGGGGAAATCCTGGGGAAGACGCCACCACACGCTCTGCTGGAAAGCCAAATCAACATAGAATCCCGTAATCCAACCAGGTATTTATTTAGATTCTTATTGCAAACCACTCGGTCCATCCTATATCCAACGTATCCTCCAGTCCGTCACTGGCTGGGCGAACCGACCAAGCCAAATGGTGTGCCGAGGTCAACTGAAGCGGAGACAAACCAACCTAGCTCCCTCGTCATTCTCACCTCTTCTTCCCTTTCTCTCTTCCTCTTCACCCCACCACCACAACCATGTCCACAGCGGACACAGCCGATGCAAGCGACGTGCCCCCCGTGGTACGTGACTTGCTTCGCATCTCTCTCAACGCCAAGGAATATCGCTTCCTTCACAAAGCCGCCCTCTCGCGCTTTCCGCCAGCTCTGCAGAACAAGCTCCCCTCGCCATCACGATACGATGCCCTAGCCCGTCCCAGAAATAAGCACAGCGAAGCCGCGGTCCGCGCGTCGTTGCGGGTGTTCTTGGGGTCGGGTCTGGCGCTCAAGTTGACAGATTTGCTTCTTGCGAGGGTGAGAGGTGGCGCTGACAAGTAGGTCCTCCTTACCCTTCTACTTCAAAGAATATCCTTGTTATCTTGACATCAACCTACTTACACGTCTATCTTTGTTTTTTTAGGTCAAAAACACGCACCCCTCTCCTCCGCTCCCCAAACTTTCGTCTCTCCATCTCCCTCTCCCTCCTCCTCCTCATCCACCGAATCCTCTACCGCTTCCTCGTCCGACTACGCGCGAACCTGCGCACGGAAGATGCCCGTCCCTTCTGTGAGCGAAACCCACGGATCTCGCGCGCGTTAACCTCGCGCTTCGCCCCTGCCGTCGGAGCCAGTCTGGCAGGTTTCGCGCTGGGCATCTGTCCGCAGGACCAGCTCCGTCTCACGGTGGCTATCTACACCAGCACGCGCAGCTTGGAGTTCCTCTTTAATGTACTAGATGAGAAGGGTTATTTGGATAAGCGGCCCTGGTGGTTCGGCAGCTGGCTGCTTATGCCCGTGTCGTGTGCGCAGCTGTTCCATGCTTTTGTGTTTGATCGGGAGACTACACCTAAGGTAGGTATTTCTTGGGGTTTGAGGGGCCTGAGGAAAGTACAGTGCTAACGGTGCGACCCATAGTGGTTCGGTAATGTCATTCTGAAGCTCTCGCCGAGCTATATCCAGAGCCGACCGGAGTCGTTGCCCAGCAATGTGCCCTGGCCGGAGAAGGAGGAGATTGTGGACTCGCTTGCTTCTATTGCGGATTTGCGCTGGCCGTAAGTCAATCTACAAGGGTTTACAAGTCGTTGCTAATCGACCAAGCGCATTTGTGTCTCCCATTCTGCACCCCGGAGACCCCAACACCCTGCCGTCCTTGGTCAAGGCCATCTCCCCAATCACCGGCCCAGCTCATCCCTCGATCTCGAATCTGTCCTGTGCGTTGCTGCACCCTAATGTCCCGACCTGCAGCACGGCCTTCCTGCATCACATCCTCCTGTCAGTGCCGAAGCTGGCTCGGTTCCTCACGGCGGTGACCCTAGCCCTGAGCATCCCCCGCATCAAGACGATTCTGACCCAACCGATCACCTCGGTGAACACCATATCCAAGCGGATCATAACCCTAACGGCCGTGCTCTCCGCAGCGGTTGGCTCTGCCTGGGGCAGCGTCTGCCTCCTGAACAGCTCCCTGCCCCGCTCGACACTCCCAACCAAACGTTTTTTCCTCAGCGGTGCGATTGGTGGACTGCCCTTCCTGTTCTTTAACAGCCGCGGTACCTTCCTGTACTTCTTCCGGGCGGCCGTGGACTCCGCTTACAAAACGGGCGTCAAGCGGGGCTTGTGGAAGGGCGGAAAGGCCGGTGAGCTGACGCTGTTTGTGCTGTCGTGGGCACTGATGGGATCTATTCTGGAGGTGAGACCGTCGGCAGTTCAGGGCGGTGGGCTGCGGAAGGGCTTGGCCTTTTTGCGGGGAGATGGGTTCGCTGATCCAGTCGAAAAAGCGAACCGTAAGGCACGTCGGGGGAAGAAAGCCGAGGAGAAGACGGGGTAGTCAACTGTGTAGCCTATTACTAGGAGTCCTTCTCTATAATATATATTTTTTTTTATTTTTTTTATTTTTTTTTTTTTTTTTTATAATCCGAGTGTTGTCTGGCAGTCTCGGAAAGTGACTTCCACCTCGCGAATTCCGATTAAAGTCGGGGAAACTGTGAACCTCCGCATGCAGCACTACTTAAAGCTCTCCATTCACTTTGTTCCCCTGAACTTCCCTCCTTCCTTCAACTCACCCCCATTGGATTACCTCAATTCCCCTATACAATAAAATACAAATATGTCCGCCCAAAGACTCCAAGTCGGTTGCGCCGGCCTCGGCAGAATGGGCAAGAGGCACGCCCTGAACTTCCTGGAACGAACTCCCCGCGCGCAGCTGGTCGCCGCCAGCTCGCCCGACCCGGCCGAGCTGGAATGGGCCAAGACACACCTCGCCCCGTTTGGGGTCAAATTGTATCAGAACTACGACGACATGCTGAAGCAGGAGGGTCTCGAGGCGGTAGTTATTGCGAGTGCCACGAGTGTTCATGCCGAGCAGGCGATCAAGGGTATGGAAGCTGAGAAGCATGTCCTGTGTGAGAAGCCACTGAGTACCAGTGTTGAAATTGTATGCCTCCAATACCTCCAGACAATACATTTGACTCAGACCGCCATGCGGCGCAGACGGAACGACTACAGATATTGATTGCATGAGGCTAATGGCTGTACAGTCCCAATCCGTCATCGACGCGGCAGTCAAGAAGCCGCATTTGAAAGTTATGTGCGGATTCTCCAGGCGATTTGATGCCAGTTATCGAGATGCCGAACAGAAGATGAAGGCTGGGTCAATCGGAGTCCCCTCCGTGCTGCGCAGCCAGACATGCGACAAGCTCGATCCGTCAGGCTTCTTCGTGGCGTACGCGCAGTTCTCAGGCGGGATATTTGTCGACTGCTCGATCCACGACATCGATCTGACGCTGTGGTTCTTCGGCGCCGAAAGCAAAGTCAAGTCCGTCTCCGCGGTGGGCAATACAGCCGTGGAACCCGACCTCCGCAAGCACAATGATCGCGACAACGCGGTGGGCCTGGTCGAGTTCCACGATGGCAGAATCGCCTATTTCTACGCCTCGCGGATGATGGCCGCGGGCCAGGAAGATACTACGGAAATCATCGGCACGCGCGGCAAACTGACTGTCAACTCGCAGCCGGCGATTAACCACGTGCATATCTATGACGAGACGGGCGTGCGCAGGGAGATCCCCCAGCATTACTATGACCGCTTTGAGTATGCGTTCGTCACGGAGGCGAACGAGTTCACCGCGGCTTGTCTGGATAACACGCCGCTGCCACTTGATCTGGAGTCTGCGGTGAAGGCTGTGCGGATTGGCGCTGCGCTGCAGGAGTCGCTGATTACGGGGAAGAAGATCTTTTTTGATCTCCAAGGGAACCGGACGGAGGTTGCGCGCCTTTAGATTTGCAGATGAGATTATGATGGCACGATAGACCTTGTGTGATAGAAGGTATACAGTGAGAGTCGAAAACGGTTCCCCCGTGGGCATACAAGCAGCCATCGTAATCCCCCTCGGCCGCCCTACGAGGCGGCCTCTCGCGGCATGACGCCGAGAATCAGGTTCTCCAGGGCTTGCCGGCCTAAGCCGAAGGAGGCGAGCCACTCCGCTACCACGTAGATCTTTCCGGACTCAGAGATACCAAGGGGGGTACCGCTGGTCTAGCACTCCAATAGGAGTGAGGGATTCACCAATCGTCTGGCTCCGTTTCGTGAACCTATCGTCCTCGCCTTCGTTCCACAAGGGCTCAAATTTGAAGCTCTCGCGGGCACGGGAGATCCCTGGTCCGCTAATGTCGAACACCAGGCCGTTGAACTCGGAGAGAAAGCGCTCAGCCGCCTCGCTCACGACAAATCCGAACTGCTCCAATCGGCGCCGCAACTCGCCAGTATCGACCCTACGTCCGGGATTCCAGCCCGCGTCTCGGAGGACGCAGTCGGTCTCATTCGTGTAGTCTTCCATCAGTTATCCTATCCCAGGTACTATAAAAAGCAGACAGCACTCGGTTGTTTCGCGGTGTCGATGCCAGGGAAACAGAGGTGGAACTCCCTCAGCAAGCGATCCACGTTCCCGATGTTTCTTACGACTCAGCCATAATAGGCTTATGTGTTCTATAATACGGTTCGGGAATCATTTCATGTGTACACATTGGGGAATCTTTTTTCGGCTCCGACTGTACAGTACGTCCCGAAACTGGTGAGCCCAACTACACTCTTCGATTGATTCTCGAACCCTAATGCCAAGACTCATTAGTCTATATCAGGAATAGATCCGGAATATCAATATTCCTGTATCGAATTATTACGGTAATTTACTTTGACAAGTGGAGTCTCGTAATTGTATTAGCAAACAAGGATCTAGAATTTTAATTTTCCATCGTAATGCAAACAAGTCAAACTCCAGAGCCCGGAAGGGCCTTGAGAATCTAGCAAGTTGTGACTTTTCTTTGCCACTCCCACGTCCAAATAACAGTACGGTAAGGCCCCCATGCAATCCCAATGCTGTGCAATGCTCACTTTCACTCATGATGTGCTCATGAATTAATAGTTCGAATGATGCCACAATGATCTGAAGATGATCCTTTCAATAAGAACATGTCTATCATGTGGAGAAAACCATTCCTTGGGTCTCCAGACTGTGGTAAGGCGATCAATGGTGATTTGAAAGTGACAATGATATACTTGATCCTATGACGAGACATTGATCCATTATGACTTTATGACTCTACGATCATCTAAATTTGAGTTATATGCCTCATACAGCTGATAATATAAGTGGCGAGCGTTGCTGGGATCAAATTTTCAATATTTCTCAGTCTTGATGGATCAAGTGCCGAATTATAATCTAGGTATTCGCCCTGTTCTTCCTTGATATTGATCTCAACATGTCAGTCGGACAAAGACAACCCGAGCCGCTTCGTCGAATCATAACAACACATGATTCCACAAGCGGCCGAGCTATCTTTAGTGACGCGGTTGGGGAGCAGGTATCGTTTACTGGGTTCCCAGTTCCCCCTGGCAAGCCTACAACGTCAGACTATGCTCTGGCCTATAACACAACTACATTTCCTGTGCAAGGGCTTTCTCCTCCAAGTTCTACAACCCCAGAATCCAGAGCCAATCTCGATATTAAGCACTATCACTCCCAGCTCTCGGATCCATCGCCTTTGAATCCGCCAAACGGCACCTCCTGTACAATTATTGAGGTACCTCCGGGTTCAGAGGTTCCGATGCACCGAACAGCGACCCTCGACTATGGTGTTGTAATTGATGGCACTACAGAATTAGTCCTTGATTCCGGCGAGAAAAAATTAATGAAAAAGGGTGATGTATTTGTTCAACGAGGTACGGCTCATGCTTGGCGGAATATAACTGAACAGAAAGACAATTCTGGTGTTTTACGTGTCTTTTTCGTGTTTCAACCTATCAAACAGGTGCAACTAGGCAGCGGAAAGGTCGTCGGTCAGGACTTAAATCTGTCTCTACGTGAGGCTTAAAGTACGCGCAACGGTGTATCGCTCGAGCCGCAAGAAGCTGAAGTAAGCCATTGTTAGGTCTTGTCAATTATCCAGATCTAGATCTTAAAAGTCCTGCAGTCATGTCTATACGAGTACATTCATATCATCGCATTACTTCAATTATGGCAGGCAACAAATTTTTCTCTTGATACCTAGTGTGCTGTAGCGGGTCGGTCGCACATTAGCATGCCTGTTCAAAACTGGCAGATCGAGAGGGAGAACCAGAGGAATTAATGGTTGGCCCGAGCAGACTAGTTCAACAAAGAGAAACGATCATAACAAACGACGGTATGTGGCACGCTCCCTCGAAGGAGACCATTTCAAAAATATCTCCATTTTTCACTGCAATATGATTTCAATAGGTATATTTTCACCATTTTGTTTTGTGCGCGCCTAGATTATAATGAACAAATATGAAACCCATATGAACCATCCGAACTTTTTCGTAAAACTTTTATCCAACACTCTGAAGCTTAGAGTTCTGTTAACGCAGGTGCCCCTAGTGCTGGAGGGGCGGAAAACTTTGTCTGGACAAAAACTTTCTGGATACCTGGGGCACGCTTATTGAATAAATCGTAGACCGTCTCCATGTCCTCGAGCTTGAACCGGTGGGTCACCATATGCAGGGGATGGATCTTCTCCTGCTGAATATACTCCAAGAGGTCTTTCCAGTATTTTTGCACAGGGGCTTGTCCATTGCCAACGAGACGGATCCCTGTCTCCATCAAGGAACCAATGTTGAAGTGATTACACTATATTACCACATTAGGAGAATTGTTTTACCATAGGAAAGGTGCCACATACATAACCGGCGTATACGCCCGTAACCCCACAGCGCCCGAACCCTCGGACAGAGGTAATCATCTCGTTAATGAGCTCAGGCGTGTCCGTTTCCATGCCTAGCAATCTCTCAAAGTAATGAGCCCATCCTTTTGTATACTCACCAGCGGCACACTCAATCGCCACGTCAGGCCCACGGCCATCACACATTTTTTTCAGAGTTGAGGTAACAGACTCGCCCTTTGGGAGATTCGTATACTCGATTGTCTCGAGCTTTGGTAGAATCTTCTTAACAAAGTCTAGTCGCCATTTTCCATGGCCGCCGTCAATAAGGATAACCCTATTAGCACCATTGAAGAAGCTGAATTCAGCGGCCATTTGCCCAACTGGGCCAGCTCCCCAGATTGCCACAGTGTCACCCTCCTCAACCCCAGTGTCAACAACGGCGTTCCAAGATGTTGCTAGCACATCAGAAAGATAGAGACCTTTTTCATCGGGGACGTCATCTGGCAGCTGAAGGAGATTCACGTCGCCATAAGGGACGCGAACATATTCCGCTTGCCCACCAGCAAAGCCTCCTGTGAAGTGAGAGTATCCAAACATGCCTAAGACGAGCTTTAGTATAATAGCCTTGCTAACACCAGCATAACCGTTTTAAGCGGAAAACATACCAGCTGTTCGACGCCCATATAGATTACAGGCATCCTCGCTCGAATTCGTCCGCTCACACATTGAGGACAACTTCTTCTGGCAATAATAACACTTCCCACACGCAATTTGAAAGGATGCCACAACGCGGTCACCCACTTTAACCTTCTTGACTGCCGGCCCCACACTTGCGATAATACCGCAGAACTCGTGGCCGAGGATATCACCTTTCTGGAGATCTGGGATGGCCTCTATAAATCGATAACGGATACAGCATGAGCAGATCCAGCGATTCATTAACTATTAAGTAGTCACGGCTTACCGTGGAACAGGTGTAAGTCACTCCCACAAATGGTGCTGCCCGTCACCTTAAGTATGATATCGCCTTCATCGATGATCTTCGGGCAAGCCGTCTCCACTATAACAAACTGTATAAGCAAAAAAATCTAATTATATCGAGAGATTGAAACGAAGGTCGTGAGCAAAATGACTGACCAACTTTAACCGAATTCTTCCCTTGCCAGGTCAAGGCTTTCATCCTATGGCTTAGGTCGCCATATCCCTGAGCCCCATAGTTGCTGACGTCTGTGGTGATCGAGGTAGACATTGTCTATATCCACCGAGAAATTCTGTTCGAATTGATTTTTTGAATGTAATGATTTATTTTCGGTATGCTTGATTGGGCTACAGCTGAACGCCTTCGTGTTCAAATCGCATGAAGGAGTGATATATATTTGACTCACTGGACAGCCAGGCGTCTTGGTTACTGGCATCATTCTCATGTCTCCGTGTTTACATCACCATGATTGTATCTCGGCCAAACATAATGCTCAACTGAATCATGCCCAAGGATGCAGTATCAGTCGTCCATGAAGAAACTGTGAAGCGAAGGGGTGAGTTGAGATTGTGACTCATCCTGGTGTCATACACGTCATTGACTATTTAGATGTAAGTGAGACGCTTCGCCTTTACGTGGCTCTAGACTGGTCAGGGCTTAGATGACTTCAATTTTTCAAACTCATCGATCGGACTAGACCTCTGAGGGGCCAACGGGACTAAGGAAGCTCCTGCGATTCTGTCGGGACCACTTAAACGTGGGGGGTATTGAGTGTCAGGTAGGTGTATTAAATTTTTAAGTGAATAATACAACCCACTACTGTATATTTCCTGGTTCTCCACGTAAGAAACAATACACGCTCCACTAACAAGGATACTTCGGAAAAACTCCCAATATGTACTAGTACATCTTGGCACTTAGGGTTCGAGAAATAATGAAAGAGTGTAGGTAGTGGCACCAGTTTCGAGACGTACTGTATACATTTGGCGCAAATTGACCAACAAACATTCTGCTGCACTTTACCAGAAATAGTTTGGATGTGCATACACATGTTGATCCCACGAGCTCGGGAACCCCTTTCCGCGGAAGGACTCGGCGAGAACCATCAAAATACGGGAATGATATGGCTGCAAAGCTAAACTAACTAGCCCAGTACTCTTGGCCTCTATCCCATCCCTCAGCGAGGAGCCATCACTCTAGCGGTTGACCTTGCGTATTTCCCGAAGGCCGATTAGAGCCGGTAGTGTTCCCTTCGATTCGTGCATTTTAAAATCCTCGTCGCGGTCAAAGTACTGGTAGCAAGTAGAGTAGCGTGAATAATAGAAAATGTTTATGCTACATATTTATATGCGCGTAGTGGAACAGAAAGGGAGGTATGTATAGATCAGGCAAAGACACCGTCTGGGTTATTTGCATCATAAAAAAAAGGCTCATGACATGAATGCTTCTTGTGAAGAGAAATATCAACACAAGATGGGAATCTTATATAAAACGAAAAAGCACATCATAAACATCTACCACTTGACGACCTTGTTGGGGAAGTACTCGTCAATGAGTTCAAGGTAATATGGCTGCAAGACAGTTAGTTAGCTTGGAACTGTATCGAAGAGAAAAGGGGAAAAAATACCTTGAGTTCTTCGACGCTGGGAATATCATCGCTCTTGCTGTACAGATCATACGGGTTGAATGCCTTGACGGCACGCAGCATGTCGCGGTCGTGGTCATCCATCAGCTCCTGGTAGGCGCCGGCGTTATGCCAGGGATAGAACGAGTGGTAGCGGATCATGGCGAGTGCCTCGTCGGGTAGGGTGGACTGGTCCTTGGCAATGTGGTACAGATACTCATCATGGCCCCAGGAGAGCATGACGTTGTCCAGCCCACAGCCGGGCGAGTAGATGCCGAACTTGGAGTCATAGATCTCATGCCCGAAGTCCTCGTTATCGCAGAACGAGTCCCGGCCATAGATAATCCGGTCGTCGAAGGCACATCCGACAGCAAACGTATCGCCAACCACATCCCATTGCCCGCGGGCGTCAAAGAAGAAGAGCAGCTTGCCGAGGTCATGAATCAGCCCTGTCAGCTGCATCCAGCGCGGCTTGCCGTCTCGCCGGATCGCCTCAGCGGACTGCAGCAGGTGCTCGATCTGCGATAGGCTGGTGTCGGGATCAGACTCGTCAATGAGCGTATTCAGTTTCTCCATCGCTTGCCACACCGTCATCTCCGCGCGGGTCTTGCGGTGAAACTCATGCCGGGCCTTGAGGTTGTACGCAACCGTCTGCTTGGTGTGCTGCTCCTTGTAGAAGTTCTTGACCCGGTCGCAGGCGTCTTCGTACTGGCGGAACTGGGTCTTATCTTTGTTCTTGTCGAACTCAGATGCCTCGTAGAGACCTTTATTGGTTGCCTTTAGCACATTCACCTCGTCGATGGCGTCAGACGTTTCTTCTAGCGCCTGGCCGTCGCGCTTCATATTGAAGGTCTCCGTGGCGATGGGTGCCATGGTGTTGCAATATATTTTGAGACCAATATTTTCAATAATAAGGTAGGTATATGTGACGTTCAGAAACGTGGCATGGCTCAGCCATATATATTACCACCGATCGCTTGATCGCGTCTAGATTTCCGACAATAACTTGCACGGCGGCGATTCTCCAGGCTTGTTCTGCCGCGGAGCCAATCATCATGGCTCCGTTAGCATCATTGTGCGCCGGTGGCAGCCATCTTTCCACTACACCGCGGATTCTGGCTTCCGAGACGGCGGAGTGGATCTGCTATTATGTCAGGGCGATCGGCCCTGGATTCTGGTTTCCGATGGTGACTAAGCCCAAGGTTCAGGAGTTACCGCCTTCCAAAGGGGCATATTCTGCCAGTTCCTGGCTGGCCGTTCGGGCTGTCGGCCGTCGGCTAAACCAGTCGGGTCGATGCGACTAGGCGAAACTGTGATTGATGGACTAATCATTCTCCCGTGGGGTTATAGTGGGGGTTTGGTTATCGTGGGGGTTGTGGCTACGTTCATTCCCTCCCTTCTTTGCTTCCTTCCTTCTCACACTCATACACACATACGCAATGGCTGCTGCAGACGTCCACTTTAAGCTGAATACCGGCGCTGAGATCCCTGCCCTGGGGCTTGGGACGTGGCAATCTGGTCCAGGTGAGGTGGAGAAAGCGGTCTTTCACGCCATCAAGGTGGGATATCGTCACATCGACACCGCGCTGTGCTACCAGAACGAGAACGAGGTCGGCCAGGGCATCAAGCAGGCCATTGACGCTGGCATCGTCAAGCGCGAGGACCTATTCGTCACCACCAAGCTGTGGAATAGTTACCACGCACGTGTCCCGGAAGGACTCGAAACCAGCCTGAAGAACCTGGGGTTGGACTATGTCGACCTCTACCTGATGCACTGGCCAATTGCCATGAACCCTAACGGTCAGCAACTATTCTCAACGATTGCTTCGACCACCGGTATTAACATGATCACGAACAGGCAACCACCCCATTTTCCCCAAGCTCCCGAACGGAGAGCGCGACATCATCCACAGCCACTCGCACGTCACCACCTGGAAGAGCATGGAGAAGCTCGTCGGCACCGGCAAGGTCAAGGCCATCGGTGTCTCCAACTACTCCGTCAAGTACCTCGAGGAGCTCCTGCCCCAGGCCAGCATTATTCCTGCTGCGAACCAGATTGAGAACCACCCCTCGCTGCCGCAGCAGGAGATTGTGGATTTCTGCAACCAAAAGGGCATCCACATTACGGCGTATAGCCCGCTCGGTAGCACCGGCAGCCCGCTGTTCACGGCCGAGCCGATTGTTGAGGTTGCCAAGAAGCGCGGCGTTACCCCTGCGACTGTTTTGCTTAGCTGGCACAGTATGTTTTGATACCCCTTTTATTGGGAGAACAAGTCTGACGTATATATTTACAGTCGCCCGCGGCTCTTCTGTCCTCGCCAAGTCCGTCACTCCCGCGCGCATCGAGGCGAACCGCAGCGACCTCATTAAGCTTGACGCTGATGATGTGGCTACCATCAAGAAGTACAGCGATCAGCTGGCTGCTACCAAGTCTTTCCAGCGCTTTGTCTACCCTCCCTTTGGTGTGGACTTTGGATTCCCCGACAAGAGCTAAGGGGTGTTTGTCTATACATGCCTTCTTTTTGGAGCGTATATACATTTTAGATAGAAAGGACTAGGAAAATCAATCGTACATACAGGGAATAACTACAGCAGTGGAAATGACACGTAAACTCAACATATTTAGTACACAACCTGATAGTAATACAGAAAAGAAAAGAAGAAACAAATAGGAAAAGAAATTGTACATGTTGTCCGAATCGCATCTCTCAATCAACCCAAGTAATCATCACACATTCAATGCTCGTCTCTCACATCTGATCGTCAACTGCCGTCAGAGTAACGGCCATTTCGTTCCTTTGGTGGGTTAGTTGGCATCACTCGTAGGCACCGTAGGCCGGTTAGAGCTAGCCCGGGGAAGCAGGTCGTCCATATTGAGTGGATCCAAACCCTTCCACTCCCGCTTCAGCTGACCGGGGCGCTCAGCAACTGCCTGGGGAGTGTCGTCCTCCTGGGCTGGAGCCGAGACCACGAACTCACGGTATCCGAGCTCATTCAGCTGATCCGTCGGGATGGGATCAAGCGGGTAGGGCCTGCTCTGGTTCTTGAAGCGGATGGCGCGCACACGGCGGTCCTCGCGCTCGATGACGATCTTCTTCAGAAGGCCGTGGGTCAGGGCCTTGCGCTTGCGCAGAATGGCCAGTCCACGCTGCAGGGTGGCATAGGGGAGGGTGATCAAGGCGATGCACGGGATGAGAATGAAGGACTCGGAGGGCTTGCCTTCATTGATGGCGGGCAGGTCGCCGAAGCGAATGTTCAGCAGCTCAGGACTCATCATCATCGAACCGGGCAGGGTGCGAATCGGGATGGGGATGCGGTCTGGCACGATCTCGGATCGGCCCTTGGTCCACAGGGGGAAGTCAGGATCCACGGCCTGCAGGACGTACTCCAGCGAGTAGTTGGTCATGCGTTCACCCCAGACGCGCTGGAGCTGTTTGTTCTGCGCCTCGAAGTCGAAGGCGGCAGTTGCGGTAACGGGAGCAACGTCGAGGCAGCGGATGAGGTATTCGTTGATGCGCACGCCGAAGCTCAGGAACTGCTCGATGGTGTCCCACGACACCAAAGTAAAAGCAATATCCATGCCACGCTGCACGATATCAGAGTAGCCCAGGAAGGCACCAGTGGCCGCGTAGTAAAAGGCGTAATCGACCATGGCCTTGTCGAGATAGAGAGGGTTCACGGTGGGGCGAGCCTCAGAGGGCTGCTGCTCTATGCCCATGGACTGGAGAGTGCACACGCGCAGGTCATTGTTGGTCAACAGGGGCCAGCTGTACAGGTGTTTCAGGGCCATGCCGAAGGCGTGCATGCCACGATACAGAAAGCCGCCATGAACGTGGATCTCGTTGACCTCAGCGCCAGCACGGATGCTGAGCTGGGTGAAAATGTAGTGCAGGGTCGGGTTGCTCTGGAGCATGAATTTGTGGACGGGGTGCGGGATAGACGCCATAGGCGCCCAGTCCAGGTGCAGGACGATCTCCAAGTCCGAGATGCTGGTATCTCCATACATTTTGCGGACGTGGATAGCAAGAGGGGGCATCAGAGGCCTGGCGAGAATGAGGTTGTCTGAGTAGTAGGTTTGAATATTGCTCAGTGGAGGGTGAAGGTGTGGAGGAGAAGAGGAGTCGCGAGGTGGCAGGAAGGAAGAATATTCAGGTGTGTGAGGTAGCAGCGGACCGTGAAAAACAGGTCGAGGGTCCTGCCACTGGATGTGCTGGTACTCGTTGAAATGATATGGCTCCTGTCCTTCAGCCGAGTTGCTTCCTCCTTCTCCCCCATTGCCATTGCCCTTGCCTGAAACCCCAGCACCATCCGCATTCTGCACATCATCACTCGGTTGCTCATTGTTAGGCATATTTTCAGACCCTGCTTCATCTCCTCGGCCCTGCGAAGGTGCCTCTGCATCTGCAGTCAAAGAAGCCTCTCTATCCATCTCATCAGCCCAGCTTCTTCCCCTCTCCGGATTTCTACAGGCTTGCTGCACAAAAACAGGCGCAACCATTAACCGCGTGTGTTCCACTGCCAGTGAATCAAAAGAAGAAACCCGAGAAAATATCATCTCCTTGGATTTGCGCGCGGGTTGAGAATGAGACCGGACCTCACCGGGGACATATGGCCGGAAGACGGGGCGTCTGGTCTCAGGCTTATTGTCGTTCGATTCTTCTTCCTTTTGTTGTTTATCGGACTGGTCGTCAGTGCCGTCGTGCGGCTCGTCCGGTTTCTCATTGTTGTCTTTGAGCTCCTTCAACTGACCATCAGATTTTTCGTCCTTCTCGTTCGTGTTCTCCTTCTCATTGCCCACATCAGACTCCGCCACCGTCTCCGTCGACGCCCGAGAAGATGACGGATTGATTTCAAAGCTGATCTGCTCCGATTCCCCGATGAGGTTACCGGGTAGTGGCACTTGCCAAATCACTTGGACGATTGGATCCTCCCCCGGATGTTCTTCCTGCTGCGAATGTTCCTCCTGTGAGTTTTCCTCTTGCTGTGCAACTTCTTGCTCTTCCTGAAGATGATATTCCTGTGCCACAGCCTCAATCGCTTCATGAGTGTGCTGCTCCGCCTGACCTGGCGCCTCAGGTTCGCAGATAACTCCGGTCACGGTAGGAACATCCAATTCTTCGTTTTCAGACTCTGGCGGAAGAGCAGGATATGGAACCTCAGTGTACTGAGGCACCTGGCCATCAATAAGAACCATCGTGCGTTGGAGCCCGTCTCCCCAAGCCCGGACCATTGCCGTCACAGGCCCGGGGGAATTCATGATGCTTCCAAAGCGGGCAAGCATATTTGAGAAGATTCGCGAATCGAATCCACGTTCATCAAATTCAGCTTCAGACTGCTCCTCCGCGAAAGGATCCTCAAGTCGTTCGAGAACAATTGGAAGCGGCGGCGGGCTGGGGGTTCGACTGCGCAGATGCTCAGGCACATAGGGCAAAGTGACCGTTCCATCAAAGTGCTGGTAGACAACCCCACTGCTCTCTGTCTCCATAGAGTGGCATTGGCAACAATCGCCACCGTGGTGCATGCAGCAGCACGACCGACCAGGAGGACGCATGCCAAAACCTCTCGGTCGATGGTAGCAGCACGCCGGGTGGAAGCCGCATCGTGCACGAAGGTGGTGCAAGGCGGTATCATTGGGCCATACGGCTCGAGGATTGACAACCGGATAACCCTCTGCATAGTACAGAGTACGCGATCTGGTGGGTCGCGGCGGAAGGGGAGGAGGACTAGGCGGCGATGGGGGACGCGGCCGCGGCTCGCCGGCGAGCGGTGTATTAATTGGCTCGTTGACCACGGTAGTCGAGCCGCTTGAGTCGTCCACGGCGGTTGCTTCGAAAGAGAGCTCAATGGCGTTTCCTGCATCCTGCACAATATGGACTGACGCGCCGATTCCGAGCGGAGAAGCGTCGTCCTCGATCTCCTCGACTGAGGCCACCACAGGACGCTCAGGGCTCACAGTGATCTCAAAATTATCGGTCGACACATTGATATTCGAATCAGCCACCAGCCTGCTCACTACCGGCTCCTCCAAGCCGGTTTCTTCAGCGACCTGTTCAGTTTCATGCTCCGAGCCAATTTCCGCAACCGTTTGATCGTCATCATGAATCTGAGCCCTATCTGAGGGCTTCTCGGTCAGGGAAATTGACTGCTCGTCTTCGGGAGCAGAATTCTCGACCGCCGAAACAAAAAGAGAACTCTCCTGTCCAGGTTCTTCCTGCTCAAGCTCCATCTGCGGTTTCTTTGCCTTGACTTCTGACTGAATGGATGTAAGTGGGGTGAAAGGATTGTATGAAGCTTCAGCAGCGGTAGTATGCTGTGCAAGTCGCGCAGCCTCTCGCACGGCATTCTTCTTTCGTTTCTTCTTCTCCTTCTTGCGCTGACTCTTTGAAAGCTCTTGGCTCTCAGGCTCAACGGACTCGTCGTCATCGTCGGTCCTGTCCCGGCGTCGGCGTCGACGCCGCTCAGACTCAGGAAGCTCGTCGCCGGTGATGATATTGAAGCTATAATCAGTATCATACTCGGAATCCGTTTCGTCCGTCTGGCGTTTCGTCGGAATGGGACACGAAGAGGCAGAGCAAACGGTTACAGAAGAATCGGCCACCTCATCTTCCTCGTCCTTTTCGGATTTGGCATCGTCCTTGATCTTCTTTCGGTCCTGGCGAGCCTTTGCCTTGCGGCGGGTTTCAATTATCTTCTTTCGATTCTGTGACTTCTTCTTGATAAGGTTCTTTTTCTTCGTGCTCTTCGGACCACTCTTCTGAGGCTTTGCGCGAGCATGCTCACCATCTTTGGGAGAAGAAGGGCCAGCCGTGTCAGATGCAACCACAGTCTCGCTGTCGGTCTCTGCGGCCTCTTCGTTGTCGTGGCTCCTTTTTCCTTCGGGTTCTTTTGGCACGTAATCGCCCGTCTCCGTTTCGGCCTCGCTGTCGGTCGGTTCTTCTTTTTCCTTGTTGTCAGAAGAAGAAGCAGGGCCCGCTGGGTAAGTGACAATGATGGTCCTAGCCTGGGTTAAACCTTCTTCTTCCTCTTCACGGCGCTCGAGGCCCAAACCTGGCGGGTATCTCGGGGTCTGTCGCGACGGTCCCGCCTCGGAGGTGCCATTAACATGGGAACAAGCCTCCTGCGCTTCCAGTAGCTTTTGCTTCAGGATGGTCTGCATAACGATATTTGCGTCATCATCTTCAGCGGCAATATCGTAAATCTCGCGTCTCTCGCGTCTGGCCAACGTGACAGCCGTGCATGCAAGAACCCGCTGTGTCAGATAATCCTTCACCACGCCCTCAATTTCTCGATCCTGCTCTGACGCAGTGGGCGAGGGAATTGGAGATAGCTCGCCGACGGACTCTGCGGGAGAGGAAGGGTTGGAGGTGACCTCCTGCCCATCGAGGAACTTCAGCATGCGTTTTGCTTTCTTTGCTTTCTCCTTGCGCTCTTCCCAGGCCCACATGTCCGTGGTGCTGCTCTCAAAGCGCGAGTGAATGGGCGCCATGCTGGATAGGTGGAGGAAGACTTGGAGGAGTGGAGAAGGGTTGAGAAGGGGGTTGATGTCAAGGATGGAGGTTCAGGGAGGAGGGACTTGAGAAGAGAGAATGGCGTTCTGGAGGTCCCCCTTATGGGTTGCAAGATGTTTTTATGAAGGTGAGGCTTTAGGGGTTGAGAAAGGCGGATATGGATATGAGTTGATGAAAAGTGATGCCGATGAGGCACAGGTGTCGGGGATGGCGAGAATGATGAGAAGAGGTGAAGAAGAAAGAAGAGACTTGAAATAAGAGGGCATTTTGAAAGTTCTCACCGTGGGTTACGCCGTATTGCGACAAGGCGTTACCAGAAACGCTCTACAGATGAAGCCGAACGTGCACACGCCGTATTGTTCGCGATTCCACCCACCCACGCCCACAACAAAGAGTAGAAGTGCTTTTCGCTGCGTGGAAACATTGATTATAGCCTGCTATTATCATTCTGTATTTTATTTTGTGAAACAAGGCACTTTTGTTGGCGCTTCTAGCTATTAATGTTCCAGATCCTGATACTTAGGCCGCGGAGTAGGGCTAGCATCATTCACGTGATACCTAATTACCAAAACAGAGCGGCTGGAGTCGCAGCGGCCTCAGGCCATCACCAGCCAGTGCTATTGCTACCGTACTGTCTCGAAAGTGGTGTCACCACTTACACCAATGAATTATTTCTCGAACCCTAATGCCAAAACTAATGCCAAAAATTCGCTTCGCATAGATGCAGAGCTCGACCGATATATTCTACACACTCTGATTCACTTGGTTGCATAAGCATAGCACCGTGAAAGATGCCTGATTTGGATCCTTTCTCTGTCACCTCCGAGTCTCAAGCCAGCTTTCGTCTCGCAGACGGACTAGGTTTCGGGATGTACGGTACTACATTGCCCTATTGAAAGAATATGACAGGCCACAGGAAAAGGAATATAATTTATATGTTTCCATTTTGCTACTCCATATGCCTGCACTCGCAAGTGGAAAAGCAAAGGTAGTAAAAAGACAAACGCTCAAGAAACGCACCAGTGGTATATAGGCAGTCGTCAGAGTAAAGGAAATGGAAGAACGACACACAAGAACAAGAACACAAAGGAAGAGCCCGAATGAGGGATATATGAAGAGAAATAGACACAACACACTGTGTACATACTCAAAAAAGACAAGGGACGATAAGGAGATGGTTAGATGTTAGATTTGTACAGAGAGCGTATGAGAAAAGCAGCAATATATCAATCAGAACATGCCTCCGTCGACAGGAATCGCAGGAGGCGGGTACGCAGGGACGGCGGGAGCAGAGCCAGACCGCGAGTCCTTGCGTGCCCGTCCATGCATACTGCCGCCCTCGCTGGACATCTTGCGCAGACGGTTCCGAGAGCGAGGGCGCTTGTCCTCGTCCTGGAATGTGCTCTTTTCGTCGACGTCGGGGAACGGAGAGGCAGTGCGCGAGTCGCTCTTGTCACTCTTGAATGCGTCGATGATGGTCTGTGTACCTCGCCTGCGGGGGTTCCGTGGTGGTATAGGGGGAGTTGGGGATTGGGTCTCGGGAGGCGAGGGCAAGCCGACGGTCGGGACGTTGGATGTGCTGGACAGGAAGGTCGGCTCAGAGATCTGCTTCTTGTTCACTGGCCGTTTCAGGAGTGCGTTGTGGCCTGGTGCACGTTGGGGGAGTGAGTGGGAGCTGCCCCCAGCGGCAGAGCCAGGCCTCGAAGACTCCTCAGAGGGTATCTCGTTGAGGGGAGGAGTGGCGTTTGCAGAATAGGGCGGTGCAGCCGGGGAGGGCCGTGGGGATACCCCGATCATGGAGGGCGAGTTGCTGCCAGGCCGTGGGAATTGGAATGGCTGCTCGTACTGGAAGCTCGGTGTGGCAGCACCAGAGCGGCTGGCGCTGCGGTATCTGCCCGACGCAGCAGAGGAGGCGCGGTCGAACAAGGGGGCAGGCTCGCTTGCCTCCATTGAGGGACGAGCCGAGGAGGGGATTGAAGGGACGAAGCGGGGTTCGAAGTTCTCTGGCGCAACGAAGTTCTCGTGCGCGATAACCGTGCCCTCTTCCACGGTTTCAAGATCGTCGCGCTCAGCGCGGTATCTGGTTCGGCTCTTGGACCGGCTCGCTGTCGCCGAAGCATCAGACCCTGAGCGAGACCTTGGTCCCCCGGTAGGAGATGGCCCACGGCTGTGGCTTGAGTCGCGCGATCCATCACGGCTGCTGCTGCGGCCGAGCACCGGCATGCGGGACCGGATCGAACGTTCGCCAACATTGGGGGAGCTGGAGTTGGAATGCCGGCTGAAGTTGAATGAGCGCGGCTCCTCCTCACGATGCACGTCATCCTGCACCAAGGAGGGCGTGGAGGTGTTTCCATAGCCAAACATCTTCAATCTGGAGTCCGGTCTCTGGAAGCCTGACTTGCTGGGCTTCTTATTCAGCAGTGCAAAGGCGTTTCCAGGTCTCGGATGACCGGACTCTGGGGTCTGTTGACCTGGGGTAGGACTGCTCGATCGGCTGTCGACTTCGGTCACGCTGCGCATCTTCTCCTGAACCTTTCTGCGTCTCTCAGCCAGCTCAAGGGCAAATTCCTCTCGCTCCTTCTGTGTCTCGGTGCTACCATCTCGTCGATGGTGGAACGCCAGCTCGTTTTGCCACGAGGCGTCATTCAGCCTTCTGGTAGTTTCGGGCGAGGCCCGTGGTTCAGCTGAGTCTTCGCTATCACGCGGGATTGAGTCCTCTCCGCACTGTCTGGAGGCTGCTTGAGACCCGGACGTTCCAGGGCGGACATTTAGGGGCGACACGGCGTCTTCTTCTAGGTGGCTCGGCATAGGCGGGTTGACCGACTTCCGGGACAAGGATTCCTGGGTGCTCGAGTTGCTCATGCCCCCATCCAGTCGATACGCGGAGGACCCGGGAGATGAAGTGAGGTACATGTCGCTCTCGCGACGTAACTGGGCTCGAACCAATCCAGACAGGTCTGCTCCAGATGGTTGCGTAGTCGGTGAATAAGACTGCTCGGAGGGGATAGCCGTGTCCATGCCTTCGTGCTCCTCAATTGGTTTGAGCTCACCCACTTCCGAATATGTGACTTCAGGGAGAGTTTCCAGATGGTCTCCGGTAGGGGTGGCAGGCTTGGAAGCTGTGGTGGTGGAATGGTGCATAGATTGGCCGTATTCCGTGGCGAAAGATGTTGCAGATGACAACTCGTAAGAGCGACGGTCATCTCGCTCATCTCCAGATTCACTGGCGGTGGATGCGGCATAGAAAGTGGTCATGCCAGGTCGACGGGGGGAGGCCTCCACGCTCGAGGCCCTGGAGTGATCAACACTACGATTGGGATCGCTGCTGTAATGCGACGAAGCTGACTCGGCTCGGGATCGGACACTGGACTTGGAAAAGCCTCTAGGTCGGCCGATAGGCTCGGGTGGTGGAGCTCGCCGCGGAGGGGACGGGCGCCGCAATGGAGGTGTGCTCCGTCCCTGATACATCAGGAGCTGTCGACGAGAGAATTGTTGCTCATCAAATGCCGTGGCAGGTTTGTTGAATAGACCCATAGCGGTGGCTTTTCCATGATCTTCCGGCTGCACGGCGGCAGCCAGTGACGCACCGTCTTCCGTTTCGCTCGTCGGTGGGCTCAGTGGAGGTGTAACCCCGAATCCAGCAGCCGTCGGTGAGATTCGTTCCTTGGTCAACGTCTCTGCGGAAGGTCGGTGCCTCGATGACCTGGATGACGCAGGGCTGTTGGCGCGAGGCCCGGGAAGGCAGGGAGGCCCGGGAGGCGCAGAAAGCGGTGCAAAGCCGGGATCGGCGACGGCGAGCTTTTGCAGCCGGTCACGCAAACTGGTCGCGCTCTTGGAAAAGTTGCGATTCAGCGGAGGAAGTTCTGGTGTGCCCACACGAGCGCGGTTGAGGCTTTCTAGGCGATTCAATGTCGAGGATTGCTGGTTTTGGGCTGCCTGGGCTAATCCTTGGCCATACATGCGGTGGGAACGCAGGGGCAGTGGCTTTCCCGCCCGGGCAGTGTCGGCTGGGGGTTCAGGAGTTGAATTCAAAGCAGCCTGGGGCTGGATGTTATGCGATTCGTCAATCGAAGTAGCCGCGGTCGAAGTGTCGGCATTGGTGGCGGGCCCGGACGCAGTGGAGGAGTAGGTGGTACGCTTCGTGGACGAGATAGTCGAGTGCGCATCGTCTGATTCCCGGGGAGCTGCTTCCCGTGCCGCTTGCTCGGCCGCCTCTCTCTCTTCCTTTTCCTTCAGTCGCAGCCGCTGGAAAGTGGACAGATTCAAATCGTTCTCGTAAACAGCCTTGCCCATTGCTCCGCGAGCGCTGGCCTCGTTGGGGCTCGGCGAAGGGCCGGGCGAGCGGACCGGGATCTTATAAACCTTCTGGCGTCCTCCAAACAGGTTGTTACCTTCCGTGCGTCGGCCGCGACTCATAATGCTGCCACCGGGTGATCGGTCGTCGTCGGTGCCATATCCCCCAGTTCCGCTAGACATATAGGAATCGGCGCGGCCCAATGCAAGCGAGGGTCGACTGCCGTCGTTGGATTCGACTTCATCAATGTCCGTCAACGCATTGGGGACGTGGCCGAACAGATTCAGACGCGAGGCTCGCTTCGGAAACAGAACGCTGTCGTCGCTAGCCTTGCCGAGTTTTGAAGATGGATCGTCCTGTTCTCTCAGCATGCTGAATCGGGCGGACAGCTTCGGCATGAGCAAGCTGGTGCGGAAATCGTCGGACGACGGGAGGGCGAAGGACAGGTCCAGGTTCGGGCTGGAGGCATTGTTGGTCTTGATTTGCAAACTCTCAAAACTCAGAGCCGGCGGCGGCGCAGTATTCTGGACACCTTCTAACCCGTCCAGGGCCTCCTTGACCTCCTTGACCTCCTTGGCCTCCTTGGCCTTCTTATGTTTGCGGAACCGATTCATCGCGAATGGCGCCAGGGTCGGCGAGGTGATTCAGATAGTTGCGGCGGCGCAATGGACCAGGAAAAAATAGCCAGGGGGGCTACATTCACGCAGCCCTCGAAATCGGATTGAAAGGTGAGGCGGGAGATGGAGAGATTATGATTCACTAAGAGACAGACATGGCAGTCAGCATCTCTGGGGGATGGCAGGTTTCGTGCAGCAGCGGACGTACAGCGGCGTGCTCAACGGGCGCGAGGTGGAAATGAAGTGGAATGCGGGTCTCTATCGCGTACCTGAATTAACGTACCGTGTCTGTTTTTGTCAGCCGATCCGGAGAGGCCAATCAGTGGTCGAGGATGGCGTGTTGGACTGGTCAGAAACCGACGTGTACGATGTCCCGCATTAATCCTTGATTCATTCCTTGGACAGTCTGGAATGTCGGAGGAATGGAATTGCAGAAAGAAGAAGACCAGACGGCCGAGCAATTCAGTTGGTTGATCTATAATCAAATCATCGTTATTTACTCTCGTTACGCGCTGTGGTACCTGCATCCCTTGTCGCAGGATGCCTGCAGACTGTCCGGTAAACAGACCCTTGCCGGAGAGGTCGTCCAGCACCGTATGCGAATCATGTCCCTAGTCCGATGCGATTATTTTACCATCTGTAACTACATTTCCCGAGGGCGGCGGAATCCGGCAACGAGACCCAAGGCAAAAGAACAGACTTTGCTAGCGTCACCAGGGGTCTGGCCCGCGGACCCATTGCGAGCCCTGTCGGTTGATGATGATTATTACCAGCGGCTTGGCAGATCCCCTAATGGGTGCGCTCCGATCGAACTCCTTGCCTCCGTCCGGGCGGAAATCATTGAATATGCGTGCCGCCCAGGACCCGGGGTGCAGAGGAAGCAGTGATAGCACGATCTACGGGCTGTGACACTCCTGGCATCTGCGTCCGACAGATGCAATAATATCATTACCCCGTCAACCGCTGCGCCAATCGCGTTGAGTCTGCCCCTGCATCGCTCGTTTTCGTGGATCCAGACAACCACGGTTAGGCCCCGTTCAACGCGGCTATCCACCCCATTTCCCCTGAGAACCCTGTTTTGGTGTTTTTTATTTTACTTTTTTCTTTCATTTTTCCAGCCGAGGGTAAAGGGGGGGAAATAGTGAAATAAGCAACGGGTCAAATTCAGGAATCCTCTCGGCAGTGGAACCATGATCTCATAGCGTCGCTGCGAGATGAACAATAATAATGGAGACCGGACCACCGACTACTGATGCCGGACAGCGAAGCCTGGATGGGGCAGGCAGGGGGGTGCGCTGTGTGGGCTGACAGCCGTTGTTGAGGACCCAGAGTGGACTCGCTTGCTGACCTGCTCCGACGGGCGGAATGTTGGTCTTGCCCCTGGACTAGTCTAGATCAGGGCAGTCCAAATAAGGGCATCGGCCTTCCCATGGCCCGTACATTGTCATACCTCAGGTGCATGTAACTGGTGCAACAGATCTTGCATTTGAGTTACTGGTGTAGCACATGTTTGATTACACTTATTAGATGAGGGGTTATGTTTTTATCGGGCGAGAATGAGACTACGAAAGGGTGGGCAAAAACGGGACGCTTTTCCGCAACTCAATGGGAGTGGAGTGCGCGCTGAGTTCCCACCGGCTCTCAACCTCTCTGAGTTATAGTTACTGTACCGTACGTGCGCACTGTTCTTCATACAGGCCAGGGTGTAAGCTACGATCGGCTTAGGGCCGATCGATCGGACGTATGCATTTAATATTGATCAAGGAAATCTGTCGCAAATCTTGGTAGAGATCCCGCGCGACCCAGCTGAGAGATCACAGGAACGATTGGGGCCGAACGGGCAACCTGAACCAAGTGGATGGGATCCAGTCTCGGCACTTGTCGACCTCGTGTTGTTGCCTTCCGTTGACCGTTGTTTCAGCACTCGGTCAAGTCTTTTTGGTGCCCAACGCTCCGGAGAAAAGTACGGCTGCGCCACTACGGACTTTGTACATACGATGGCTCCTGAGTAATTAATCTATCCTGAACACTGTGTAATTCTAGACCGTGTATCGGGACGGATAACTTGATCCGATCCCCAAATATATATTGCGTGGCTTTCTCGCCGAGTACATAGGTCTAAGACAGCCGAAACGCCCGGGCACTCCTCGTATTAGTTGAAGAAAGTCTCAACTCCTGTAAGGTAATGTATTAAGGCCTGCAGGTTTATCGACGAATTCAGTTCTTGAAGATTTTTCTTGTTTGTGATCCGATCTCGATGGCTGTTTTACTACAAAATTGATTGCTGCCCCTGTGAAGGGTGCAGGATTCTCATGAAAAAGAAATTCAAGCAAATTCAGCGACTGCATAAAAGACAAAATATTCAAATCATGCAGTTATGCTTTCAATCCTCAAGTTACATCATGGTTTCCATGGGGGCTTATCGAATTGACCTCACATGTTTGGCCGACTCTCAGGGACCGACCAACTTTTCATGGCATTGCAACCCCTATCGCTCTGAATATTTACATAACAGACATGTCTTGGATCCGGCGAATACTTTGTAAGGATTGGCTTTACTCAACCCAACCTACTCACTCTATATGGCAGAGACCAAACATAAGCCCGCGTAAAAGCCTACGTCTACATTGCCCGCCATGTTAGATAGTCTATTCCTGAAATTTGAGAACTCTACAGACAAGCTCGTCCTTCGTATACAGCACGTCACGAAACTGGTGTCACCAAATACAGTCGTATGCCAAAAGTCTGAAACCAGTTACCCGTTTAGGCGGTAGGTAGCTGGTTTCAGACTTATGGAACGTACGTTCTTCGATTGCTTCTGGAACCCTAATGCCAAGACCTACCATATTATACTCGCCCATAAGTCGGACCTCCAACAGCTGGCACTTTCGGGGTCCGACTTGGAGGAGGCGAGTACCCCTTGGAACACCTCTGAGTGGTTCAGGTTCTTATTGTGTCGATGACGTATTCTTGCCTTCGAATTGACCAATCAGCGTCAAGTTAGGCCGGATAGATTACAAATTGCAGTTATATGGCCATGCTACCCATATCCTTTATGGTGCTAGATAAAAGGCGGACATGCCCTCGTGGAAGAGGTAGTATACATATCGATTAACTCTCTCTCCTCCAGCTCAAAGACCTGCAAGCCTAAATCCATATCGAGAAACAAACATGATGTCTTCACCGTCGTCTACCATCGACCTCACCCAAACCTTTCACCACTGCACTGCTACCCACGAGTATAATATCCGCTGGGTATCACTTGGAGATCCTAAATTTCCACCTCTGATATTTGTGCATGGTACGCCATGGTCTTCACGCGTTTGGAGTACCTATGCCCAATCTTTTGCCAAATACTTTCACGTCTACCTCTTCGACAATCCAGGTTTCGGCGACAGTCCCCTTGGCAAGCCTCTTGCCGACAAAGAGGGGACGATCGACAAGAAAACAGCTCTAGATGCGGACCTCGCACTTCAGACCGAGGTGTTTGCTGCGCTCTTTAAATCTTGGTCGCGAGATTGGCGGCAGAAGCCCCATGTGGTTGCGCATGACCATGGCGGCTTAATGACCCTACGGGCTAATATCATACATGGCTGTGACTATGCGAGTCTGTGCTTGATCGATGTGGTTGCAATAGGGCCGTTCGGCCAGCCGTTGTTCAAACTAGTGGCCGAAAACGAGGCAGTGTTCACTGCATTGACCGGACCAGTGTTTGAGGGGGTGGTAGAAGCATATATTCGCGATGCAGCCCACAAAGACCTGGGCAAAGAGACTATGGAGATGCTGAAGAGCCCGTGGATCTCCTCTGACGAAGGAAGAAGGGGGTTCGTGCGACAAATGATTCAAGCTAATAGCCGTAGCACTGAGGAGGTCGAGGCTAAGTATCCAGAGGTTGGAGAGAAGATACCGGTGCAGGTCATCTGGGGAAAAGAGGACCGATGGATTCCTGTGGAAACGGCGGACCGCTTGAAGGAGAAATTGCATGCTCAGCGTGTGGTGCTAATTGAAGATGCGGGACACCTGGTGATGTACGATCAGGCAGGGATGTTAGGGGTCGAGCTGGGCTGGTGGTTGAACCATGCTAGTCGTCTTTAGATAGAATCTCTCCAGTATATTATTAGGTCTGACACAAAATGCAGTTCTGGACAATACAGGCCCCATTGACATAGATATTTCGTAAATGTACTAGTATATCTCAACATTAGGGTTCGGGGAATAGTTGAAAAATGTAGTTAGTGACACTATACCTACGCCGAAATGTTAGAATGTAAATCGCACTGTTGATAGCCCACGAAGCCTATGGTTCAAATATCAATTACGTTTTAAATCCTATAAGAGCCAAAGTCGATCTTCTATCTTGATTTCCTGATTTTTGACCTGAAGTTCAGCGATAGGATCTAAAATATGAGCCGGGATTCCTTTTCTTCTAATCAGAAGCCTTCTTTCCCTTTTGGAGAAGGGGGGAAATGTTCTCGTCTATCTTTGGAGCTCCCTGAAGACCGCGCATCAAGGATGTACCCATAACGACTCCAACAATCTCAAGTTCGACTGCAGCAGACATTCTGGCCCAAGTTTCCATTGTCATCCGCACCAGAACTAAAGCGGATGCATCAGTTTGATACGCCTCAATGATTTTGGCTCGAAAATTGGAGGGCAGGTTCTCCAGAAGCTCCTTGAAATCCTTCGTAACATTTGGGGCATTTCCATCGAGAGTGAGCTTCACAATGACGGATCGTTCGAGAGGAGTACCCTTCAGTGAAGGCGACGGAGTGCTGGGAGCACTCGGTTTTTCCCCCACGGGCTTGATAGGAAAGGCGATGGTGCCCTTGGCCCCGAAATGAGTGAGCACAGGAGTATGGGCACTCCGAGACTGCTGATCATTTTGGATTTCACCATAGATGTCGTCAACTGTGGCCATTTTCTTTCCTTTATCTCTCAAGGAAAGAACAGCCGCTCTGAATCTCTGGGAAAATGTGATCTTCTGACCTCGGGGATTGGCGGTACCACTGGGGCCGCATGCCGATAAGACTTGCGATGTACGTGGAAACTGGCCTCTGACAGCACCCGAGTAACAGCAATCGAGTAAACCGAATGCATGCACATGATCCAGAGTGCCTTCTGTGAACAAACTTCGATAGACAGAACTCCATCGGATTTTTTGAGTTCCTCCGGCACCCGCAAACTCGAGTCCCCTATCGACATGGACCATTCCATGTCCGGCGTAGGCGAAAACGCAAAGTGAAGGATGCGTTGTCCCTGTGAGACGGGGCTGAAACTTTTTGGCAAATTTCTGGAGTTTTTCTTGCAACTCCCACTCAGCGAACTTCTCGTTGCGAGGCATCTCGTAGATCTGCGAGGGAATACCCATGACATCTTCGAAGATGTTCCTGAGGATCTCCGAATCTTTCTTGGCTCCTGTATCGTACCTTCAAAGTAGAAGATAAACGCATGTTTGTGTGGATAAGAAACGCCACGATCCGAAAGAACTTTGTTGAGGTCCCGCATCAGGGCGGGCAGCTTCACTTTCACGTTCTGAGGAGGGCCTGCCATGGTGATGGAGACCTACAGAGAGTCAAATGTGAGAAATGATCAGCATATAAGCGACGACAGAGAAAAGATGTGTTATGGTGAAAAGAATAGAGGGGAGGATGGTGAAGGAAGGAACCACGAGATATCTCACAGTAGCAGTGATGGACGTTTCCTAATTAGGAAAAGCACTGTTTTTGTAGCGGTAATGTCAAATGGACAGAACTCAGGTCCTTTAGTAGGGTGCACAGCTTGAGGCAAAAGATAGTGTCAATGGTCGCATGGATGAAGTTGTTGAAAAGGGCAGAAGGAAAAAGGAAGAGGGAAGAGGTGGGTTTTATAGTTTAAAAAGGCAGGTGCTCTCAGGCACGAAGGCATGAAAGCAATCAGTCATTGACGGATGAGCCCGTCAAGACCATACTACGACGTGATTAGGCTTAATATGTTAAATTATCCTCGTAAGGGTCATCTAGATCTGCAGACGAAGTCATTTACTCCTTATCCCCTCCCACTTCCCCCGGAAAAGACCTAGACGCAGATTGCGCTGGATCAACAAGTCGGCAAGGAAGATAATGCGAGAGAGCTCAGAAGATGAAATTAAGAGGTCTAACTGAATAACATCCTGTTCAGAAGTCGAACGAATGTGCCTCTGCTCAAGCCGAGAAAAGCGTATATATTGACTCCATCGAGGACCTAGCATTCGAATTGGTAGGGAAGTTGTACATTGGGTCCTCAACGTTTGATATTGCATATTCTGTTGAAGAACGCAAGAATATGTTTCACTCTAAATCGTTGAGCGCCACTCATTATCGGTATTGCGTTAAGAGCTAGAGGACAAGGGAGTATAACTTCTGGAAAGTAGCCATATTCTAGGAGAACATGGCTGTTGCCACCAAGGGCACCTCTAAGGGCTCCGAGTCTAGCCGTCGCATCGCAAAATGCAGCCCGTGCCATAGGTAAGTTTACCTCACTATCTTCTCTGAGTTGTTGCTGATCCGTATAACGCCTCTTCAGAGGATTAACACGTTAGATGATCACGGCAACGCCGTCTTACCAGACTTGTCCACGCGGAAAAGACATCCCTGCCCTGCTTCGTCTGCAGATCTGGATGACCCTCTCATGAGGACCATTTAACACATTAAGCCCAATTCCGTCATAGTATGGTCTTCACGGGCTCAGTAGAAGCATCCGTCAATGCCTGAGTGCCTTGATGCCTAAAGGCCTGAGAGCACCTGCCTTTTTAAACTATAAAACCCACCTCTTCCTTCTTCCCTCATCAACAACTTCATCCATCCATCCCTTGCCATTATCCTGTCGCTCCTTAATATATTTATTTATATATACATACACATGTATCTAGCGCAGCCGATTAGGTAGGTCATGCCCTTCTCGATGACTTACATGAGGATGCTGAACTGCATATCCCAGCAACCACCCACTGCCTGAGCTATTCATCCACCCTCCCGTTTGCCCTTCCTGGTTGCCTGTACAGCTGCGCTACCATCACATTGTCCCTTTTGGAAATAGGTGGTAAAACGCAGCCTAGCAGTATGCAGCCCTCGATGTCAGAAGGGTCTTCTACAAGGACCTCAGGCTATTCAGCAGAAGAAGTCGGAAGCCACGTCTGTCCCAACAGACATAGAGGGCGCTAGTTAGACTCCGACTCGAGCAAGCCTTTGTACATCGCAGGGTACTGAATGCCGACACACTTGGCGATTTTCGGTTGCTGCTACGCAAGCGCGACGAGTCGTGCGATGGAGCTTAAACCGTACACCTTCTCCTCCGTGCGACCCAAAACGAGACAACTTCTATACGTGCTGCTTTTTGTTCTGAGGTGGCAGAGGTGACGAACGCAGGGTCGACGTGTGAGTCCTGCCCGAGCTAGGCGAAGAGGCGACGTCACTAATGGGAACCTCTCAAGCAGGGGATGATTAGTCTCCCGGATCCAAAATTCTCAGGACTGTTCATCCGTCACTTCCGGCTAGTCACCACTGAATCATCGCCTTACTACAATGCCGACGACTTGGTCGAAATTATGCTTGGATACGGCGGTGTCAACCTCGACCACATGGACCGCTTCCCATTCAGCGCAGACCACAGAAGACACGCCATGTGACAACGGTCTCCTCCGTCCTCCTCCATGGTTTCGCTTATCCGATACGGTCGTGTACCTGCTTTTGAAATCAGACCTCCCCGTGGTCCAGCGACATGCACGCTGACCGGGAGTCTTCGGCACGGACGGATGGCCTCGTCCGAACAGAGTACGTTCGGCAAACCGGTCACAGAGATGGCTCACGGACTGCGCTTCGTGGTCGTTATCCATGACTACTACATCATAGGAGGCTCGGCTATACAAGACTCCTGCTGGCTCCTAAGGGTGAAAAACAGGTCCATGCGTAAGGGCCGACTGCCCTTTCGCGTCGGCGCGGTGCTCGCATTTTCCAACATGCCGCAAGGCCGTATTTGTTGCGAGCTTTACGACTGGACGTAACAACCGAGATTAGACAGCAGCAGACATCGCGGAACGTATCAGGAAAGAGACCAATATCACCCAGGGCTTATCAACCAAAGCACCAGAGCGGGAAATGGTCCAATTCGGAGTCAAGCCCGGGATCAAGTCCCGCTGGCTTACCTTGCCTATATGGCAGGTCCTTGGGAAATCGAACCCTACAACGATTTACCAAGTTTTTGTTGCTGCGATCCCAGAATCGAGCCGGGAGATTATGGGGTGTGTTCCATTGACGAATCGTTGCTAAAGGCTTCTTCGGGAAGGTTTCACCCTTCTACTCAAGTAGAGAGGTCAGACAATTAATAAGACACGTACTACTAAGGCGCCAAGCCCTCAATTTACAGAGCATGGCCGAATGCACCAATTTTGGCATCCTCGGGGTTGCCAAGACTGAGATATTATTATTCACTCAGGGTAGCATCATAATTAAGAACACCAACTGACCTACATCCCTCAAAGCGACCGGTTTGAAGTTGAGTGGTGAAGGTGAAACCGACTGTCCCACTAGCCCCCCACATGCAAGCAACGGTGGTGTGCATCCTAGCGCACTCATTGGCCAGCCGACTAAGGGTCTAGAACTGAAACAGGGTGATCCCCCTCCAAAAATGCCAGCGATCGCTGAAAATAGCCTTTCTCGGCAGACCCTGTCGTACGCACTGTTCTGTGTGCGGTCGGGTGGAAGGTGCATTGTATGTTAGCAGTTAATGGCGTGACAAACAAAGAACAAAGAAGGGAAGGATGGATACATAGAAACGCTGGTTCGGATTGACAGGTCCAGGTCGATGTGCAGGAGGTCGGTGAGAAGTGGGAAAAGTCCAGTTTTGGTGGTGTTTCACGATGACTGGTGCGGCGCTTGTCAGCTGGTGTCCAACTCCTGTATATAGGCTATCCACCGCCGGGCTCGATCTTGGTTCTTCAGCTCGACATTAATCGAGTCGTTCTTTTTGTTCCCTTTCGCAGTGAGGGTAGACCCCGCCTTTCTTTTCAAACATTCGTTTTTTTTTTTGATTCTCGGGTCTGTTGACCAGACCCTCGTTTTTCTTTAAGATGTTTTTCCTGTCGATGCTGGCCATCGTCACATCGCTGGTCTCTGCGCTCCCAACCCCTGTTCAAAAAAGGACGGATTGCACGTTTACTTCTGCGGCCAGCGCCATCGCTGGCAAGAAGTCCTGCTCCACCATCGTCTTGGAAGACATCCATGTCCCCGCCGGAGAAACGCTAGACCTGTCGGACTTGGAGCCCAAGACTAAGGTTGTCTTCGCCGGCGAAACCAGCTTCGGTTACAAGGAATGGGACGGCCCATTGATCCGCGTCTCGGGCTCGAACATTGTCGTCGTCGGCACAACGAACCACACCATCAACGGCGGTGGAGAGCGGTGGTGGGATGGCCAGGGCACGAATGGAGGGAAGACGAAGCCGAAGTTCTTCTACGCTCATGGTCTAGACAACTCGCTCATCGCCGGGCTGAACGTGAAGAATACGCCTGTGCAGGCGTTCAGCATTGAGTCGAACCATCTGCTCCTCACCCATATCACGATCGATGACTCCGACGGCGATGATCTTGGCGCCCACAATACCGATGCCTTTGATGTCGGAGATTCTACCCACGTTACCATAAGGAGAGCGAATGTCCGTAACCAGGACGATTGTCTTGCTGTGAACTCTGGCTCGGTATAGTCTCTTTTCATTATATAAAAAGAGCACCGCTAATATAATGTAGGACATTTTGTTCACTGGCGCCTACTGCTTTGGCGGACATGGGCTCTCCATCGGCTCGGTAGGTGGACGCTCGAACAACAAAGTCGAGAACGTCAAGATCGAAAAGTCCACCGTGGTCAATTCGCAGAACGGCATCCGCATCAAGACCGACTACAAGCAGACGGGCCTCGTGTCTGGCGTCACCTTTTCGAACATCCGATTGTCCAATATCTTAGACCACGGCATTGTCATCGAGCAGGACTATGAGAATGGCAGCCCGACTGGCACGCCGACTACAGGGATTCCGATTACAGACTTGACTGTGGAGAATATCACGGGCTCCGTGCAGAGCGATGCGGCGCCGGTTTATATCCTGTGCGGAGATGGGAGTTGTTCGGACTGGAAGTGGGAGGGAGTTGATCTGAGCGGTGGGCAGGCGAGTGATAAGTGTGAAAATATGCCTGATGGCATTGAGTGTTAGTCCTAGGTAACTTTAAGCCAATCTACATACAAATTTATCGATTGTGATTAGCCTGGGAAGCCAGTCCATGACGCCATCGGTCCGGCCCCGCAATCCGTGTAACGTCAAGGGATGAAGCAGTTATTTTGTCAATTCCTCTTTCTTGCACATATCTCCTCCATCCTCTCGTCTCTCCCAAAATGCAAGTTCTCTTACTAGGTGGTCACGGCAAAGTGGCCCTGCAGTTGACCCCGCTGCTTTTGAACCGAGCATGGCACGTTACTAGCGTTGTCCGCAACCCCGAGCATGAGAAAGAGATTCTAGCGCTGGGCAAAGGCCACAAGGGCAAATTGGACGTGATGCTCTCGAGCCTGGACCAGGTGAAGAGTGCATCGGACGCACAAAAGATCCTCGACAAGGTCAAGCCAGATTACGTAGTGTGGAGTGCTGGTACTTTAAAACTTGCATATACTCGCACGTATGCACCGAATGCTAACAATCCCCCAGGAGCCGGCGGCAAAGGCGGCCCCGCAGCTACGATCGCAATCGACCAAGAAGCGGCGAAGCACTTCCTCGGCGCATCCTTCGCCTCCACTTCCGTGAGCAAGTTCCTAATGGTATCTTATCTTGGCAGCCGGGCCAAGCAACCAGCTTGGATTTCCGACGAGGATTGGGCGGATATCATGCGGGTCAATACAGAGGTGCTGCCCACCTACGCGAAGGCCAAGCTAGAGGCCGATGAGTACATGACCGCGCTGGCGGCGAAGCGCAAGGCCGATAAGTCGGCGCCTCCGTTCCAGGCTATTAACCTGCGTCCTGGGTTCCTGACTGATCAGCCGGCGACACGGATGGTGGATCTGGGCAGGACAAAGGGTAGAGGAAGTGTGACCCGTGAGGATGTTGCTATTGTTGCAGATCAGCTGCTTGCTAGGGCTGATGTCGAGGGGTGGATTGATCTTATTAACGGGGACTTGCCTGTTGAGGAAGCCGTAGAGAAGGTTGCGAAGGAGAAGAAGGATGCGGTTGAGGGGGAGGATGTTGATGGTATGGTGAAAAAGTTTTTCTCTTAGCCTGGAGAAGGTTGTCTAGGGCTTTAGGTTGGTAGATATCTATTTCGGGTATGGAACAAAAGCATCGAATCTATTTGGCATGCGGCCGGCTCAAGTCTAATTTTATATACAACAAATTTGTATATGTAGATAGCAAGAAACTTACAGCTTGGCCTTAGGGGCTGCGTTCTTGAACTGCTCCTTCAATTTCCGCCTCAAAATCTTACCACTGGGGTTCTTGGGGATTGAATCCACCCAGCGCAAGCCGCCACGCAGACGCTTGTGCGGCGCAACCTTGCTCTCCAGCCACTTGATGATCTTGGCAGCTTCCTCTTCGGCGCTGACACCAGAGGCCTTGCTCTTGGCGCTGCGGACGACACACGCCATCGGAACCTCTGACCCGTGGCTGTCACTCTGCACGCCAATGACAGCAACATCGTCGATGGCCTCATTGTCGACGAGGATTCCTTCCAGCTCGGCGGGTGGGACTTGAAATCCCTTATACTTGATCAGCTCCTTGACCCGATCCGTGATGTAGAAGTTGCCCTTGGCATCCTGGTACCCGACATCTCCGGTACGGAACCATCCGTCGTCCGACAGGCACTCCTTCGTCGCGGCGGGATTGTTATGATATCCCATGAAAATGTTCGGGCCTCGCAGGTAGAGCTCGCCGACCTCAGGAGCGGAGACCTCGCGCGGCTCCGAGCCATCTTCGGGCATGGTCATGTACTTGGCCTCCATGCTGGGCATGAGTCGGCCGACGGAGCCGATTGACTCGTGCCACTCTTCCCATGGCTGCGTGTGCGTCGTCGGACTAGTCTCGCTGAGCCCGTAGCCCTGTTTGATGCCGACCTTGATGCGCGAGTACACGGCCTCAACCAGCTCCCGCGTGAGCGGAGCGGCCCCAGAGTTCATCATCCGCAAGCTGGACAGGTCGTACTTGTCGACTGCCGGGTGTTTCCCCAGCAAAAGAACCACTGGAGGGACGATATAGCTAAAGGTGATCCGGTACTTTTCCACATGCGCGCACCACCTCTCAATGTCGAATTTCTCCATTACCACCAGATGGTAGCCCTTGTACAGTGTCTGGGTGAGGAGACAAGTCAAGCCTGCGCCATGGTTAGTCTTGATTCATTGCCTTTGGTGAAAAGACAAACCGTAGATGTGATAGAAAGGCAAGAATGCCAGGACCCGATCACCCTTGCCATCTGGGCCTCCTTTCCAGCTCAGCTTGTCTCCCTCACCGGTAACCTGCTGCAGGATGTTGGCTATTATGTTGCGATGGCTTAGCATCACTCCCTTGGGGACACCGGTGGTTCCTGATGAGAAAACCAAAAAGGCAACGTCCTCGTGCGCAACCTTGGCCTTGCGATACCGGGTAGCCCGGGATATGTTAAGTACACTAGAGAAATGCTTGTGGCGAGCGGTGGGATCGCGCGTATCACCCACGAGGATGATGTGGTCGTCCGGGATTCCAACCTTCTTCGCGGCCTCTTTGGCGGTAGACAGCACAGAAGCCTGGGTTGCAAGGACCTTAGCGCCGGAGGTCTTCAGCTGAAAGGCCAGCTCGTCGGCCGTGTATGCCGGATTGGCAGGAGAGATCACTCCGCCAGCCCAGAGCGTTCCCCACATCAGTACGGGGGTATCGATGCTATTGGGCGTGAACAGGGCCAGGACATCGCCCTTTTGCCAGTCGTAGTTGGCCCTCAGGCCTTTGCCGAACTCCAGCGAGGCATCTTTCAAGCTGGCGTAGGTGTAGTGGCGCTGGGTCTCGGCATCCTGGTAGAGAACTGGGCGGAGTTAGCATGGAAGATAGACAGGTTGTTGAAAGCTTACTCTTGTCGTCAGGGAAGGGCCGGTCTTTGCGCTCGAACAGGAATGTCCATAGGTCCACAGGTGGGACAGAGATCGGAGGATAGAGCGATGATACGACCATTGTGGGGAAGATCCAGGATCGGGAGGGATGAGGGCGTAAGGATAAGAGAAGAGGCTATTCGCGTTGCAAGGTGTCAAGAGAGAAGAATACTGGAGCAGGAGGAGTCCGCTCAAGTACCCTTTCGGAGTTCTCGGTGGTCGGCTGGGGTAATTAGAATCGCGGGACCGGGTAACTGGGATAGCCTCGGTCCCGCAAAGTGGCTGTTCCACGGATGGCCGACCAACCAGAGTTAAGCGCGAAGTCGGCAAATTGCTGAGTTACGGACCATTGCTATTGGGCGAATAATAGTGAGTTATTACTATTGTTGGAGGATAGAAGAGATCCGGGGAATTGTCTGTCAAGGCTCTCTTGCGTAGTACGCTTGGATATGGTTAAGAGGCAGGAATTACTCGACTAAACACGAGACTACAAAACTACAATCCCAAAGTGAAATTTAGGTCGTTAGATTGGTTTTGTTTTGGTGAAGGGTCATCCAGCCGACAAGATCTTATATTGAACTGGCGGCTGACCCGCACTGGAAATACATGAACCCAAAAACCATCGAGTCCACCATCATCAACACCATTTCCTCCACGCAACACTCCAAGGGAATCGTTTTTCGCAGTCGTTTACTTGAGGGGAATGAAACGGGAAGAGTGGGTGGCACCGATACCGGGACGACCGTGCTTGACGGGCTTGTAGGAGATGGAGAACTCAGCCAGGTAGTGGCCGACCATCTCGGGCTTGATCTCGACCTGGTTGAACTCCTTGCCGGAGTAGATGCCGACAACGCTGCCGATCATCTCGGGCACAACGATCATGTCACGCAGGTGCGTCTTGACGAGGTCGGGCTTCTCGTTGGGCTTGGCCTCCTGCTTGGCCTTGCGGAGCTTCTTGATCAGACCCATGGGCTTGCGCTTCAGGCCACGGTTGAAGCGGCGGCGGGCGCGGGCGTGGACGACATCACGGAGCTGCTCCGAGGAGAGGTCAAGGAGCCTATCAATAACAGTCAGATTTGTGAACTTGTGCAAATCAAAATGGCAGCGACAACAATCCATAGCAGAATGCCATGCAAATCCGCTTAGAAGTTGACACGCTATAGGTGTGGCTCTTGTCTGGGTGAACGTACTGGTCGAGGTCAATGCCGCGGTAGGAAAACTTGCGGAACTGTCTTCTCTTCTTGATCTCTGTAAGGCGAGAGTTCTGTCAGTGACTCTGTTGTCTCGTTTCGTGTGTGCGTGGCCATCCTGGATCCAATTTGACGTCCACATTTCCATCCATCTCCAAACCGATCACACAAATTCCATCTCATCACACATTCCATCAAAATGCAACACTCCGTCTCTTTGACGTTCCATTCGGGCGATAGGGGCAGGATGGGAGATTGTTCAGAACGTACCGGCAGCCTCCTCGGCGTTCTAAAGACTTCATGTTAGCGGGTCGAACGAGACCACGACGAGCAAGAAGGGGGGAACTCACGTATTCGATGTCAGCCATTTTTGCGGGCGTTTCCTCTGAGGTCGCTTTTCGGACGTGACTCGAAAAGCGAAGGAAGATGGGTTGTCGGGTTGGTCGGTGTCGCTGATCGGTTGGGTGGGCACAAAGAATTTGGGGGGTTCGGTTAGGGTCTCACATGATTCGGACAGCCCTAGCCCTGGAGTGCGATCACGTGATTTGACGGGGCCCATGAAGTATAGCAATCAAGATCTGTTCTTGTCGATTTGTTCATTGGTTTTTACAGAATATTGCACATTATGTTATTGAAAATCATACAGGGTACCTGGTAATTGCCAGGTGTGAATATACTGCCAATCGGCATGGATCATTGCAGAGTGGATGGCCGCTTGGAGGATGTACTGTGAGGCTCAACGATAGAGAACATTTCTTGGCTTACCAGTCAATCCTACGGGCGACAAACTTTACAGCAGAAAGTAATGAGAGCAGATGATCTGTATTGACTAGGAGCTCGTTCCAGCTCACACATGGGAAATTCGTAACTGCATCGCAACAGCCTGAACCATACACAATTTCAGAAATCCGTCCCTCCAATTCATCATTTTTGAGGCTCCGTGAGTGAAAGCGCTTAGTCGAAGAGACCGAAGCCCATGTCCTCGTCGGACTCCTCCTCCTCCTTCTCCTCCTTCTTCTCCTCAGCAGGGGCAGCGGCGCCACCAGCAGCGGCGGCGGCAGGGGCAGCAGCACCAGCGCCACCGGAGGGAACGGAAGCGAGCTTGGAGGTACCCTCAGCGATCAGCTGCGTAGCGAGTCAGTATTGTCCTTGATATCTCCCGAAGAAAACTAACCTCCTGGAGGTCCTTGCCCTGAAGCTCAGCGATGAGCTTGTCGAGGCGGTCGGAGTCAGCGTCGATGCCGACGGAGGACAGAACACCCTTGACATCAGCGGCCGAGGGGGACTCGTTGCCGGCAAGGGCGATGAGCAGGTAAGCGGCGAGGTGCTTCATTTTGAAGGTGCTGTTCAAAATTTGTTAGCGTCGGGGTAGAAACGTCGAGCGCAGAGCATACTTTTTGAGAGATAGAACAAGAGAAACAATCGATTTAACCGCGGTTTGGGCGGAGACTGCAACGTCGAGTTCGAGGTGGTTGAAGAGAGAGTGGATGCGGATGAAAATTGAGGGAAAAAGTGCGATTGTGTAAGCGAGATGGTCATGTGATCACCTCCGAGATAAGACAGATAGACAGGGTTGCCACGCTGGATGAACTCAACCCTTTCCTCTTATCTGGCAACCGAGTGAATTTCGTCAGACGAAGGGACTCGTTACTCGACCAGAGACTCGCTCTCGTGGTGTTGTTCCCGGAGTCATGAAGCTGCCCCGTCGAACGAACCATCGACGGTGAAAGCTTTCCTTCATCCCTCTTGATCAGCTGGCTGAGCTTGCTTTCACCCTTCAACATGAGTGTATGCTGTCAGCCTTGTTGCTCCTGTTTGCCTATGATCTAACGTTTTGCTTAGTTCCTCGACTCCATCCTCTCATCCATCCAGACGGGCAAACCGTCCTCGGCATCACTCTCACAGCCGCCGGCACCCCCCGCACCCTCCTCCACCGCGAAGAACCATGACCGCAAACCAGCACCAGCATCGCGAGACATTCCTGTGCGTGGAAATGTCAGTGGTGGAATAAAACGCAAGGCCGAAGAACAGCTACCTCGTCCGACGAAGCCCAGCAGCCAAGCGCCCAGCAGACCAACTGCGTCACGGCCCACCGAGTCGCCTGCAGCTTCGAAGCATGTGCCCAACCCCATAATGAAGCCTGCAGCTGCTTCTCAAGCTCCCAAACCGGCTGCACCGGCATCGAGAAATAGCGCGCCTGCTACCGCAAAGACGGCACCAGCCAAACCCGTACCAGCCCGGCCCGCGCCGGTGAAGGCCACTCCTGCTGCCCCATCGAAGCCACCACCGAAAGGATCCTTTGCAGATATCATGGCACAGGCGAAATCACTACAACAGAAAGCGCCGACGCAAGCGGGCATGTTCAGGCATCAAGCAGTTCCCAAAGAACGCCTGAGCAAACTGGAGCGCAAGAAGCGGATGATGGAGGCACAGGCGAAAGAGAAAGAACAAGCGCGGCTGGCCAAGAAAGGCGCCCCGATTGCTGCCAAGGGCAAAGCAGACGGAAAGAGACCCGAGCGGGAGGAGATTTCCTACAAGGGCACTGCCAAACAGTCACAGCACCCTGAACCACCTGTGTATCGCGGAACAGCAGGTATGTCGGCCGCTCGCGGTGCACATGATCGCAAGCGATATGGCCGACGATCCCGAGTGGATGAATACCTAGGCACGGACGAAGAGGATGAAGGGGACTACGGTGGTTATGATGACGGATGGTCGGATGCATCCTCTGATATGGAAGCCGGTTTAAACGATGTGGAGCAAGAAGAGGCGGCGGCGCTGAGAAGTGCCAGACGTGAAGATGAAGAAGAGCAGCGGGCGGAGGAGGCAGCCAAGAAAGCGAAGCTGGAGCGCCAGAAGAAGCTGGCGGCGCTGGCCCGGAACAAGCGGTAAACCTTTTTAGGACTTTGTTACTAGCATTTTGAGCGTTTATCCTGTCAATAATATAAATCGAATTTCAGTTGGTTTGCTATAGATCATTCTTTGTCAGCCCCACTCGAGTGACATCACACCTACTCATACCGGACTTTGCAACTTCTCTTCCTCCTCCTACCCTTGCTCGCCATCATGGAGTCCATTCACCATGTGTCGACCTCGTCGAAGGTCCTCTTCGGTAAAGTCCGCAAGATCGTACCGCCTATGCTTGAGAAGTTCCACAAAGGTTAGCTGGGAGTGCTAGGACAGCTCTGGTCTGAACTAACAATTGCATCCAGGACAACTCGGGCGTGTGGCCGTCATTGGAGGCTGCGTTGAGTAGGTGCGGTCAATTGCATTTGGATTCTTTGACTGACTAGCATAAAGCTACACTGGAGCCCCGTATTTCTCGGCGATGGCGTCGGCGAAGCTTGGTCAGTGGTGTTGATGTTTCGGTCATTTGTCCAATTACTGACTCGAGTGTAGGATGCGATATGGTATTGCTGGCACTATGTCTTTCTGCTATGGTACGCTAACCACGACGATCCAGAGCCATGTTCTCTGTGAACGCTCCGCGGCACCGGTAAGAAAATGTAATCTTGAACCTCCGACTTAAGTCTAATATCGTGACTAGGTCGTCAAGTCCTACTCCCCGAACCTAATGGTCCACCCAATTCTGCCAAGCGTGGACACGGTCAAAGATCCGAAATCAATAGACGCGCCGTCCCTTGCCAGCCCAATCATCAGCATGCTCTCCCGGCTCCATGCGCTAGTAATCGGCCCTGGACTCGGGCGCGACGAAGTGACACTCAAAGTCGTGGCAGAGGTGATCAAAGAAGCACGAACGCAATCCATCCCGTTTGTGCTGGATGCAGATGGGCTTCTCATTGTGACAGAGAACCCGGACCTGGTGAAAGGGTATAAGCAGTGTATCCTAACACCCAACGTGGTCGAATTCGGGCGCCTAGCCAAAGCCCTCGGAATCAAAGTCGCCAGTCAAGCGGATATCGCCAAGAGCGAGCAAGATGGCGATAAATTGAACAAGGAGACCGGGGCGTGTGAGCAGCTTTCCAAGGCGCTAGGCGGTGTCACCATCATCCAGAAGGGTGCTCACGATGTCATCTCGAACGGTGTTGCGAGTATCATCTCAGATATTCGAGGTGGCCTGAAACGCAGCGGCGGCCAGGGTGACACTCTGACCGGCTCGTTGGGGACGATGCTTGCCTGGCGAGCGGCATACCATGCTCGAATGTGGGACTCGGGTGAGAAAGACAATGACAAGGAGGCCGAGAACAAGGATGACGTCCAGGCGGAGCTTGAGGACGAGAATAAGCGCATGTCGTCCGCCACTACCCTGCTTCTGGCCGCGTGGGCTGGGAGTGCTATTACCCGGGAGTGTTCGCGACGGGCCTTTGAGGCCAAGGGGCGCAGCATGCAAGCGAGTGATCTGACTGATGAAGTGCATGGAAGCTTTATCCGACTTATTGGGGAGCCGGAGGCATCTAAGACTCATCTTTAGGCCTGGCTTTTTTATCCAAGGCTTTTTCATCAAGACACGATCAATCCGAGAATAGAATCATTACAGCTTTTGTGTCTTCGCAACTATTATTCGCTGGCTCTACCTGCATTCACTTGCGAGATCCAGCCTTTGGACCCATGGCATCTAAAAAACACCGTCAGGGGTCTTTTCTTTGTATTTTGATTCCAGCTATGCTGACCTCGTACAACGTATATATATTGATTGTAGCACAAAAGACTCTGAATCTGATATGAGATCGCTGGAATCAGAGAGCCTCATCTCAGCTGCTTACGTCTCATTCAGAATGGTACCCAATCCCCGTCTTTGACAGAGACGCACGCACTAGTTGGTATACCCGCTATACATGCATGAAATCAGGCGTCCGATCTAGGCCGGTGTAGCCGAGTGGTGGATGCAAATGCAAGTCGCTGGCAAAAGTATGGACAGTACCACAGGGCTAGAGTAATCTATTAACGTATGTAAACCATGATTGATTCCAGCGGTGAAGCCGCACTCTGCAAATATTGTTCGGCCAGGGTAAAAATAGGCGCAGGGCTGCAGCTGTTTTGCATCGAATTTTAGTCATGGGTTCTTCTCACCTTCGCTTTAACAGCCCTATCCTTGGCCAGGTTCCAGATCAACTCTGCGCCAGTCTACACCCGGGCACATCCTGCGCCGCTATACCTGAATTTCTCTCGGCCAAACAGGAATAGCATATCATGGGCAGTATGTTAGACATGCGGTGTCAGACCCTTGCAGCAGCCGACTACATGTACCAAACTCTTTCTCCATGAAATGTCGCTATATATAGCCTCCGTGGTGGTGGGAGAGAGCCAAGGTCTGTATTGGGTTTAGGGCTTTCGACGGGGATAGGCTGTATGCAGACTGTGACTATGACTGCCTGAGACATACTTATAGTCACCCCGCTTTTCTTTTGTTCAGTCGGCGCTGCGTTGAGCTGGCAAAGTATGCTGGCAAGCCATCGAGATCACCATTATCGAGAAGCTATTGGTGGAGTGTCGAGGGACTGTTTTACATCTCGTATTCGTCGCACCCCGCGGCGCCGTAGATTGGTCAACCTTCTCAGGAAATTAGAGGCGTGAGAATGTCAGGAAACCATTATTTTGAGAAAATAACCGAATAAAGAAAAAAACAATAACAAATATTGCTGATACCTACCATCTCACCGGTACGCGGTGCCCGGCGAGATGATCCGTGGAATGTGGCAAGCGAGCGAGACCCCGTGGTGCGACTGAACAGGTCATAAAATGAGGCGTTCAGCGGACGACCCTGCAAGAAAGACATGGGCATCCAAACATTGGCAGCACGCCGTGTTATGGCCAAGGAAGTCTGACCCTAGGATGGCGGACTATATAAAGACAGCTGATAGCCCGTCAAAATCTATACAAGATCAAGTCTAAACATCCAATCATACAAACCAAACCACCCTTCAATCTATATACAACCAGAGCCTCACACAGCTCCCCAAACCCTCAACATGAAGTCCACAACCACCATCCTCCTAACCCTCCTCTCCGCCACCCTGGCCATCTCAACCGCAGTGCCATACCCCAAGCCCCCCAAGTGCGGAACCTGCAATCCGATCTCCGGCCAGAACAGCTGCGACATAACCACCTCGTGCATCAACACGGGTTCAACCTTCCACTGCGCCTGCCGTGCCGGTTACAAGGCCTCCCAGCACAACCTCAACATCAACAACCAGTTCCGCCTGCCGATGAACGAATATGAATTCCTCGTCTTTGTGCCCGAGGATACTGTATGCAACACTCTTTGTGATAACCCGTGGGCGGCCCCCAGTGAGATCTGCCAGGAGGTTAAGCTTTATGAGCATTGCGCTGTTTAGTTGGGGTGGTTGGATACGCGGGGCTGAGGTATGGATGGGAGGGAAATGAGGTAGACCATATTGAGCCAAGATGTTTAGGGGAGACTTCGGTTGGACATGTTAATGTGTTAATGTGTAAAGGAACAGAAACAAATATCTTTGATTTAGTTACCCTAATGAGACTCCCTATCTCCAAGATTCGCAACACCAAAAACACCCGGCCCGAGGCTCTACCGGTTCCGTTGCAGACCCTCATGCAATCTCTCGCAAAACAAGCCCAGAGAATATTAAGAGACACAGGATAAAAACAATTTAGCTAGCAGATTGACAGAAACAAAAAAATGATTAGAAGCCCATCTCGTCGTCATCAGCAGCAGTAACAAACAACAGACGGGAGCCATTGCCTGTGACTTGCCAGACCTAAGAAGATTGTCAGAAAATGCGATAGCAGAAGATGAACAAAACTTACACTCATCTCGGCATACTCGTTGATCGCGGTAGTGAGCTGGTCGTCGGTGAAGCCCTTGGCCAGCACTCTCTCGCGAATGCGGCGCATGCTCAGCTCGCCCTCGTCGCTGTCTCCCACCGCAGCGGCGCCGCTCTCCATCATGCCCCGGATCAGGGTGTAGATCTTGCTGGTCGGGGTGTGGTCGGCACCGGCCTCGCCGTCGTTAAGCAACGAGGCCTTGCTGACCTCAATAAGACGCAGAGCCTCGTCGACATCCTCGCGCACTACCTCCTCGCTAAAGCGAAGACGCGCCAAAGCCTGAGAAAGACGCACAATACCCAACAGGGTACGGGGAGAGACATGCGCAAACTGCTTCTTCCTGGCCTCGTCGGCCTTTTGCTTCTTGCGCATCGACACGTACGCACCCACCATGTAGTCAGACACATTGGATGGCACCACGGGGCGGTATGTTCGTGCCTTGGCAACGTACTGTCGGACTTCGTGGGGAGTGAACATGACCGCCGCGTCCTCATTCTCAGGGTGCTTGTTGTGCATGTGGACGTAGGTGACGTGGTTGGCCAGTTCCTCGTCGGCATCGCGCGACGGGGTGTCAAGAAGCAAAAACAAGACGTCGAAACGCGACAGCAGCGCGGCAGGCAGATTGATGTTCTCCACGGGCGAGATTCGAGGGTTGTACCGGCCGTACAGCGGGTTAGCCGCGGCCAGGATCGAGGTGCGAGCGTTGAGTGTGGTCGTGATGCCTGCCTTGGAGATGGAGATGGTTTGCTGTTCCATCACTTCGTGAATGGCGGTTCGGTCCGAGTCCTCCATCTTGTCGAACTCGTCGATGCAGCAAATGCCGTTGTCTGCCAGGACCAGCGCTCCACCTTCCAGCATCATCTCGTCCGTGACTGGGTCCCTCATGACCGCAGCAGTAAGACCGACACCACTGCTGCCTCGTCCTGTAGTGTAGACGCCACGCGGGGCAACTTTGGTAATGTATCGCAACAGCTGGGATTTGGCCACACCAGGATCACCCATCAGGCAGATGTTGAGATCACCACGAATGTGCATACCGTCTCCCATTTCTTTCGTGACACCACCAATCAAAAGCAAGAGCAGGGCCTTCTTGACATCGAGATGACCATAAATCTCGGGAGCAATAGAACGAGAAAGGTATTCGTACATGTTGCCCGAGCTCTGGTACTGCTCGATCTTGCGAAGAGTGCGGCTGTCCATGCCCATGTCGGTGTAGGATTTTTTGTGTTGGGTAATATGCTGGGCCTCAAGGTATGTGTCGGTGAGCAAGCCTGCGCGAATGGCGCGGAAACCAGTGTAAGGAGTGGGCAGAAAGATGCCGGCAACGTCAACCATGTCACCGGGGTTGAGCTGGCGAGTGAGAGCGCCGTGGCAGTGGATAGTCAGAGACCGGGGTATGTGGCCCACAGGAACCTGATCCGCCATCTCTTGGATTTTCACTTCTTGGAAGGGAACGAACTTCGAGGCACGAGTTGAGAGGAACAGCTGGCCCTTGGAATTGTTCTTCGTACACTCCTCCGACAAGCACTCTGAGAGGGGAAGGAATTGCTTGGTGGTAATCGGCTGGAAGACTTCGCATCCGCAGCGGTCACAGGTGTAGGCGTTGATCTGAACCGCTGGCTTGACGTCCGACACACGGGTGGTGATACCGCGGACGGTGATCAAGCTACCGAGGTGTTCGCCCTTGACATTGCGGACTGCCAACGCTTTAGAGTCACGCTGGTCGCTGGACCCTGAGGCCGTAATCGGCTTGAAGTTGAGAGTATATCGACGGGTGAGCTCCGGGGGAAACATCGTCGGGGTAGTCGCCGCGTCCATGTCAGCTTCCGCGGCCATCTCCATTGTCTCGTTGCGCTTCTCGCGTTGTGACATGATCACATCTAGCACATCATCCTTGAATCTGCGCCAGGGTTAGTCGTCGGGATAGTGAATTGTGGTTAGCTAGAACGTACGTGACATCTTTCGTCTCCTTGGGCATGAGCTCGTCGACCGCCTGCGACAGCACATCGATGTAGCGCTTGGTATTCTTCTGGATCGATTCCACCAGTTTCAGATCCTGCTGCTCATCCGGAAGCGCTTTCTCGAACTGTTGCAGAAATCATGAGCCATGGCTGAATGCCCTGGTGCAACACAAATACATACCACCGACAAATCATCCAGCTCAATCAGGATGTTCGATTGGTCCCGGTTTGCGACATCCTGCAGAATCTGCATATACTTGAGCTTCAGGTCTCTGCGCCTCCTTGTTCTGCTGGTCTGCCCGCCCTCCGCCTCGTCGGCATCGTCCATGAAGTCATATTCATCGCTGGAGCGCCCGCCATCGATGTTCAAATCCTCCAAGGCCTCGGTGGCAGCGGCTTCGGAAGTGGACTGGAAGGTCTTGAAATGCTTCAAGAAGTCCTTGAAAGCGTCCAATTGCTTCGTATAATCAACTGGCGCGGGGTACTGCAGTAAAGCCATGATGAAAGGGGGTGAAGAGGGTGGAACGAGCGCAGGGTGAGAAGAGTGGATGAGCCCTTGAGAAAGAAAGACTGAGCTGTGAGTACGCGACAAAACACGACCCACACACGAAGGGGACGCGTGAGAAATGCACCATACCGGATTGGGAAAGGCGTGGGGCGGAGCGGATCAACCCTCGGTCCGAGCACGGCGGGCCGAGTCAGTTTCCCGGGACAGCGTGACTGGCGGAGTCCGGGGTGTTTGACCAGACACAACCCCCAGCTTCTGTGTGCGCCATCTCATCTGCGCCTTCCAGTATGGCGCCCAAGAAGCCCTCTGCCACGGCTGAAGTGGCCCTCGTACCTCTCAAGAACTGCCTGGTCAATCTGCCCTCGTCGCTGGTCGCCTTGCTGGTCAATGCCAACACGGTCAGTCTATCACTTCCCCGCCAGGCCACCCTTCTTGGGCTAATAATGTTTTACGACAGGCTGCCCAGAATGTCATCATTGAGCTGCAATACCGGTCGGCCTCTCCGAAGTCCAATGGCGCTTCCCCGCAGCAGCAATCATGCTTCTTGGGTTGGACGGGAATGCCGAGCCGGCGAAAGCTCGCGCCTGTCGTGGGCAGAGAGGGCATTAGCGGTGGCTTCTCCAGAGAGCAGGAGATTTCTACCGTCGAACTAGATACGACCTTTGGAAGGCTTCTCGGTCTTGCGGAAGGACAGAAGGTATATACATTCCTCCCCTGCTTTGGTCGTCCCACGTGGGATTCTCACACCCGTTTCCAGGTCGGGCTGTTCATACACCTGGATCCGCCCGTCGCGCATACCATTAATATCGAGCCACTGACCCCAGAAGACTGGGAAAGTATGTTTCATGGCACCCCTAGCCTACTACACGACGTCTTACTGACCGGTTTCCTAGTCATCGAGCTTCATGCCACATTCCTGGAGCTTAATCTCCTCTCGCAGATCCGTGCTCTGCCGAATCCTACCTACAGCGCTGCACAGTCGGAACATATGCACCCGCTCGCATTGCACCTCTCGCCAACCTCTACCGCGAACATCGTTGTCACCTCTCTTACGCCAGCTCCGTCAGATGACTCGCCGTTTGCCAAAATTGCACCGGATGCCGAGGTCATTGTGGCTCCAAAGACCAGAGCGAAGCCCGGAAAAGGGTCCCGAGCAGACAGCCGAAGTGCAAATGGCAGCAGCCGCAAAAGTGGTGGTGGAAGGAGTGCTGGGAGCACTGTGCGCCCGAAAAGTCGCTCCGACTCTACCACCCGAAGCTCACTCTACCTGAGAGGTGTGGACCGATCTGCGGCGAGCCAATGGTTTGACGAGGAAATGGAAGAGGATGCAAACGACGGCCTCCGTGTCTGGGTTGATCGGGACCTTCTTGCAACCAATGAGCTTCGAGGAGCAACATGGGCGTGCGTGTCGGTGGTTCAACCATCTGGTCTCAAACCTCCACCTGATCCCCAAAAACACCTTGCCCAAGCGGAACAAAAGTCAAGCGAAGCTGGTTCTCCGACAACGAAGCTTGTGGCGAAGCTGATTCCCTGGGAGGAGGCACCGGACTGTCGGCATGCGGCGATGTCCTCTTTGTTGTGCACGGCCCTCGGGGCGGAAAACATTGTGGGAGGAATTGTGCGTGTCGAGGCCGCGCCACCACAGCTGCACCGTTCAGCAGTGAAGACTCTGAAGGTGTATCCGTTTATGGTGGATGCGTCGAAGAAGAAAGATGGACTGAAGTTTGGTGCTGACACTACAGCGTCTCGGGATGCCCTGGCCGAGCGCCTCAAGGTAATATACGGCAGTACTGGGTCCGATATTGGTTTGTTCTCGGGACCCCTGACCGATGGCATGATCTTGCCCAAGGCCGAAAACCATCCGTCAGTTTCTTCGTTTGACGGGGCCATCATCCGATTTGATCCGCCCTTGAAGGGTAGCAGTGAAGATGCAAAATTGATGTTTGGGTGGCTGCTGGGCTCCGAGGCGAAGCTGAGCGTTGAAGTGCAAGCCGAAATACCCAAACCAACCGATGCAAGTGCTTCACAACTTCCCACCGACGACGCCGTCCCGGATACAATGCCCCAGCTGGTGGGGATCGATTCTATCATCTCTCAATCTTTGGGCAACTTGACCAAATCTTCGTCAATCCTTTTGACTGGCGGTCTCGGGGCCGGAAAGACAGCTCTTAGCTACCTCTTGGCCCATCGCCTGCGGAAGGAACATCTGTTCAACGTCAAGTACTTTTCTTGCCGCAAGCTTGTTACCGATGAAACGCGGATCTCCAACATCAAGGAGGTGTTGAGCCGCCTCTTCATGTCTGCGTCATGGTGTGCTCGCCTTGGTGGTCAGGCAGTGGTGATTCTGGACGACCTTGACAAACTCTGCCCCGTTGAAACCGAGTTGCAAGTCGGCGGAGACAATGGTCGTAGTCGCCAAAACAGTGAGGTCATATGCTCTATGGTTCGGGAGTTTTGCTCGATGAACTCTTCCGTTGTCCTATTGGCCACTGCGCAGGCCAAGGAATCATTGAACAATGTTATCATCGGTGGCCATGTCGTTCGTGAGATCATCAACATGAGAGCCCCGGACAAGGATGGGCGAAGGAAGGTCCTGGAGAAACTGACCAGCCATGATAAGGCGGCGGATACGCTCAACGGCCATTTTCGAGCCACAAGCTCTTCCACGCATTCCACACATGACTCGTGGCTCGATCCTTCGAATCCAGGAAGTCGCCCCAGCTCATCTGGAGGGGATGGCTTTGTTCTCGGCAGAGATGTTGACTTTTTGGATCTGGCGGGGAAGACTGACGGTTACATGCCAGGCGATCTCGTGTTACTTGTTGCTCGTGCGCGCAATGAAGCGCTTATTCGCTCTGTTCAGGACTTGTCTGCCGAATCCAAGATGATCACGCTCGCGTCGGAGGATTTTGACAGCGCCCTAAAGGGCTTCACGCCGGCGTCTCTTCGAAACGTGACCCTCACCTCGTCTACCACCACATTTTCCGCCATTGGGGGTTTGTTCGAGACACGTCAAACTTTGCTCGAAACCCTACAATATCCTACGAAATATGCACCGATTTTCTCACAATGTCCGCTGCGGTTGCGCTCCGGTCTCCTGCTGTACGGTTTCCCTGGTTGCGGCAAGACGATGCTGGCGAGTGCGGTGGCTGGCGAATGTGGATTGAACTTCATCAGTGTAAAGGGTCCCGAAATCCTGAACAAGTACATTGGTGCAAGCGAGAAGAGCGTCCGTGACCTCTTTGAGAGAGCCCAGGCCGCCCGCCCTTGTGTCCTTTTCTTCGACGAGTTCGACAGTATTGCGCCGAAACGTGGCCACGATTCCACTGGAGTCACTGACCGCGTGGTCAATCAGCTCCTGACACAAATGGATGGTGCTGAAGGCCTGTCAGGCGTTTATGTTCTAGCAGCAACGTCTCGCCCTGACCTGATCGATCCGGCCCTGCTGCGTCCTGGCCGTCTAGACAAGTCTCTGCTCTGTAACATGCCGTCTCACGCAGACCGAGTCGACATCATTCGAGCAGTAAGCGAGAAACTGAAAATGAGCGACGAGGTCCGCTCTCGTTTCAGCGACATTGCCGCCGAGACCGAAGGCTTTTCTGGTGCGGATCTGCAAGCCGTCGTGTATAACGCGCATCTGGAAGCAGTTCACGATGCGCTGGGTGACCGATCCACAGGAACTGATAAGCCCGCCGGAAAATCAAGTGCTACCAAAAGCTCCTCGGCAACCGCCAACAGCAAGTCATTCATCCAATTCCTCTACTCCTCAACCGAAGAAGCGTCTGGTTCCGCGTCAATGCCTCCTCCTGCCGTGATTGCGGCCAAACTGGAAGCAATCAAGAACTCTCGCCGCCGCCAGCGCCAACTGGAACAAGGCAGCGGCGGTGCCGCTGCGGCCTCGGTGGCTAATGGTACAGCAGAGGCCTCTGCAGATGAATTGCGTGACGAGATCATCGTTCGCTGGGAGCATATCGAACGCTCGCTGGCTACCACGCGCTCTTCTCTTAGCCCTGCTGAACGCAGGCGCTTTAATGCGATCTATCGGGAGTTCGTTGTTGGCCGCAATGGCGAGATGCCCAATGGTGAAGCTGGAAATGAGATTGGTGGTCGGACTAGTCTGATGTGATCCGCTTATCTCTCCGGCTTGGTTCTTGTCTAGCTTGGTTCTTGTCTATATACTGTTTTTACCTTGTAGATATACTGCATTTGCATCTTCAATTGTTTCTTGTATTTATTCACATGGTGTGTTAATAGACACTGTACACTTTCTTTCACGAGAATATTGCTAGAGTCTATAGCTTCTTAGCTCTCCAAATTTTGAGACAGAGCAGCCAGACGCCAGCCCCCAGATACATGAACCCGGCAAATAACTGCACTCTCAAATACGGATGCGCATCCCCGACATTATTCCGTAGCTGCACGGCAATAGGTTCAGCCACAGCGGTGGGTGGCGCGAGAACCAACCAAAAGAAGCCCAACGCACCAGCTAAATCTTCGAGGCCGACGATTTCCACAGCGATAGGAGCAGCTGCCGCCCATAATGTCCCCGCTCCCAGGCCAGCAGCGATTGCAAAGAAATACAGCACTCCAGCAGACGCTGCAAATGGCCATACGACCAGACAAAGTACTCCACAGAACAGAGAGCTGACAAGGGGAATCTCAATCCGACCGAAAGAGTCGCTCAGTCTGCCCACCATGGGACGACCGAGGGCCTGGCCTAAGCTCAGAAGAGCGCTAGCAAGACCTCCTTGCTGCTGCGTCAACCCAACTGCCACTGCGTAGCTTGATAGACTGAACAGCAAAGCGATATAGCCCAGGCCACTGCATATACCCCACAAGAGATAGAAGATATAATTCTGTTGTCGGAATAGTTGCACTTGCATGAGTTTTTGGCCGGGTCGTGGAGCAGAGCTCGGCGGCAGCCGAAGGAGATTGCCACAGAGTACATTGATGGCGAAACAAATAATACCGAGAATGCGCATGGCCCATGGATAACCGAGACTAGAGATCATAGCATTCACTGCAAGTGAATACGTCAATCCACCAATCCCTGAACCAGCAGCGACAATGCCATTAACCAGACTTCGGCGTTTATGGAACCAGTGCGATACAACACCGACAGAGCCGACGAAAGCAAATCCCATTCCCAGTCCAAAACATATGCCCTGTGATAAAAAGAGCTGCCAGTTTTGGTGGACGAAGGAGGTACAGATGAGAGATACTGCTATTAGCACGCCGCCGATGGTTGTCACGGGTCGGATTCCGTAGGTATGCACCATGTATGTGGAGAGAGGTGATATGACGAAGGCCATGGAGATGCTTAGACCACCGACAAATGCATATTCGAGGGCGCTGGTGTTTGGGAATGTGTGATCGGAAAGGTAGTAGGAGAGAAGAACCCCGTAAGCCTTTTGGGTTTGCTCGTTAGCTTTCACTGAATGTCATAGTTGGGGGTATGTTTCGGATATACATACGCTGTTGATACCCCATGTATGCCCATTGATGAGAAACACAGATACGACGCATACCCAACCGTAGCCGCCTTCTGGTAGCTGCTTCAGTGATTCTTCAGCATTAGGGGCTCTGGTCTGGGGTTCGACGGCTGTGTCGGATAAATTGCTCTCCGAACAGCCATGAGATCCAGCAAGCAAAGACATCTTGGTCTAGTGTATAGGAATTGCTATTAGCAGAAAAATCGAGGCCTGCAGGTTTATAGCGTTTATAAGGACCTGATATAAGACTTCTTTTGTTGCCCACGGCCTCTTCGGCCCCGCTGCACCGAGATCAGTTCTTTATGTCAATTCCCAGAACTGTCGACATCCTAAGATATGCTTTCAGCAAATCTCGAGAACAACAGGTTATTTTCGTTTCTACGGAAACAGCAGATCACATTACTGTAGTTATCGTTTGGATCATATTCATTTCGTTCTCTTTGGTAAGGGTTATGTGCAGGGTTACATAATTCGCTCATGAGCGGCCCTGCCGGGCCCGAAAGAGCCGAAGCCCCAAGTTGAGTCAATTTGCACTCACCTAGAACCTTGGGCAGGCACTGAATCATGACGACCAATACAATGGATAGACAGAAAGATAATGCCTCCGATAAACAGGTCAGCACCAGCGAAACTAGCCGCTCATGTGTTAGGTGCTATCGAAGGAAGACGCGATGCGATCGCAAGAGCCCTTGTTCGCAATGTGCTCGCATGAGGGAGATTTGCACATATCCGAGTGAGCGATGTGATACTGGAAAGAAGAGTTCGTCGTTGCAGGATATCTCTGATCGTCTGCAGCGACTAGAGTCAATCCTGCTTGGGCAAATGAACAGAGAACCTTCATCTTGGGCTCCACCACCAAGATTGCAAGCAAAGATATCAGAGTCGGTAGCTTCTCCAGCTTCATATCTTTCTAAGTCATCATCTGCGAATCCGTGGAGATCATGGGAGATTCTCTTGAAAGATGGCGAAAGGGTTCATTATGTCGACAACGCCAACTTACTAGACGTTTTTCAAGATGTGCGTACAATACACCCATCGACTAGACAATTATCAGCTAATCATCTCTTAGGAAGAACGTATGAGGCCTCCTGACCCCCAGTTTGCCTGTGGAAAGGCTGCGAGCATCTCCAGGGATCTCAACTTAACAACTGGAATATCTCCAATAGCACACAACAGGACCGGAAATCCAGCGAACCTATACCCAGACCCTCAACTAGCACTACGGCTTTGGAGGGCATTTATCGAAAACGTGGACCCTGTCGTCAAAATTCTGCATATTCCGACTACACAATCGTCCATGGTAGCTCTGGTAGCCGACCCGTCTCGAACCACATCATCCTTCTCAGCGCTGGCTTTTGCAATATACTTCGCTGCCACAACCAGCTTGAACGAGGACGAGATATCAAGAATTTCCTCGAATAGCCGCTCGGAGTTGCTGGAGGAATTCAAGAATGGACTGAATAAGATCATTATCGAGTTGAACTTGTTCAACGAACCCGATGTTACGACTGTTGAGGCTGTAGCCATTTTTGCTGTGAGACAAAGAACCCTTCCTCCCGACGTTTGTGTCGTGTTATCTAATTAAAAGCAGACCTGTCTACGAGTTCACGATCCTGGGCGCGGCGTCTGGATCCTAATCGGTACTGCGATCCGGTTAGCGCAGTCCATTGGCATCCATCGAGACGGGGCCGCTCTCGGGTTGAGTCCATTTGAGACTGAGCGCCGACTCAGACTTTGGTGGCATCTTAATCTGCTCGATCATAGAGCGCCTGAAGATCATGGATTTGCCTACAGTTTTGACTGGCTCCATCAAGGACTGAGACTTCCGCTCAATATCGACGACGACTGTTTGTTCCCTACTATGGAGACACTGCCATCAGAATCGGATGCCTGGACGCAGACATCATTCGCTCTGGCTTCAATTGAAGCCACCAAGCTCTTGCAACGTGTGCTCGGCACGATAGCGACGGGCCATGACGCTGACCTTACAGACGATCTTGAAGAAAGAAGAAAGATTATGCGCGAACACAAAGCATGGTTCGAAAAGAAATTCTTTTCCAACAAAACTCTATCCCGAGTCCAAGAAACTGCTGCAACTCATTACAGGACCGCGTACATCAAAATGGAGTTCATGCTGCAGGCTCGCGAGCATCTCACCTCACAAACCGAGCACAAAAACTGCTCAACGCCTTCCCCTTCGAAAGGGCTCTGCGAAATGGCCTTTTCCACGGCCTGCCGCACGATTGAGAGTAGTTATTCGCTACTCAGTGGCAGAACGACTGGAAACTTTGCCTGGTTATTCCAAACGTACCCACAGTGGTACGCTCTCGCATATGTGTTGCGTTTTCTATGTGCTTTCCCTTTGTCATCGGAGACCGAGAAGGCGTGGGATCTGGTAAACAAGGTGTTTGATGCCCTGTCGTACTCGGACGACTTGTCAGTAGTCGACGCTGGAAGAGGGAGCATCTGGCGATGCCTTGCTCGGATCCGACACCAAGTTTGGATTGCAAGAGGCGGTTACAGACGATCTACATCAGGAGCACACGGAAAAGTCAACAAGGGCGTCTCGCATTGTTCTAAAGTTGGTGAATCAAGCTATGCAACTCACAATGGACCACTGGAAGAGACGGATCTTGACTATGAGCAAAGAGATGAGGACATGCTAGAGCCTGAATGGCCCAGCCAAAGAATGCCATCACCGGATCTGGCTTGGAACATTGAGGGTGATTTGTTTGGTGACTCGATGCCAGACATGCTCTGCCTGCCAGAATGGAATGATATTGTGAATGGAAGAAGGCTAGGCTCGACTTAGCCTAATCCAAGTGCTTTTGATTGTTCTCTTGTATCTACTTAGCTCTTGCCAGATTCGGTAGTCCTGCTCAGCCGGCTGCAACGAATATCCCTGATGTTTCATCACCGAATGCGTGAAGAGATTTTCTCTGATGCCTAAAAAATCTCTTCAAAGCCTGGATTGAAGCACTCGAGCGCAAATTCGAGCCATCGGCCTCCTCGAACGAAGATAGACCCTCTCTTCGCACCCATAGACTTATCTAGATCCTTGAACAGCAGGACCCACCTCCCTGGAGATGGCTTAGAATTGGGTTGCAAAAGGTAGCATCAGCGTCCCACTTAAGGAAAGAGACCTGGAAAAAGCTTACACGGGGATAGACACGCTTCGCTGCGCCCCTTGCCAAAAAATCTAGGTTGACAAGGATGGGTGGATCCGCGAACTTGCTAATCCCTTTCTGAAAATACTAGGCCACCACATTTCAAAGATTTTTGGTTTTGTCTTTTTTTTTTCTTCCGCCATTGTGGACTGAAGTAGGACAAGCGCGATCATGACGTCCCAGGCCAACAGCGACGTTGACAGGGTCCTGATGGCAAAGTATTGGAGCGTGTGGTGGGACGATCGAGGCAATCGACCAGAAGGGAAGTTCTTGGTAATGAGAGGTTGCCGTTGAGCAAATTTCTTGAGGGGCATTTTGTTTTCTTGGCTGTTTCCTCCGCGCTACTCAAGCCCGAGTCCGGGTTGGTCGGCCGAGTGTCAGGGAATAGAGTGGAAAGATGAAGACGAGATCCTGGTTGCCACATTGGCGGAGTGGGAAAAAAGAAGTTTGCCTGTTGGTCTTGTCGGCCGTCTTCAACCGGACTGCATCCAACGTCGACCATCCAGAAGAGGTGGCGCCCGCCTGACAAGCTTTTATCATCGTGAGACTGCATCGACTGACCAATTGTCAGTTCTTGTTGCCAGCTAGATCCCTGTCTTGATGATGTCCTTTGCTAGGCATGTCATGTAATGATCGGCAGCGGCGACTCACTTTCTGGCTTTGCTTCCCGCGGGATCCATCTGCCGAGAAGCCCCATGAGCTATGATACGACACGATCGGATGTTGGCAGGTTGTAGATCCGGGTGGATCAAAGTTTTGGGTGACAGGGTGGTCTGCCGCCAATGAGAATATCCGCCAGGTACACTGCATGGACTGAGGGAGGACAGGTAGAACCCTCGGCGAAACATCCTTTGATGTGGATACCAGCAATTAGGTTGACGATCATAAGAAAGTAACCCTCAATCTCAGGATCCGTGGTACGCAGGTGACAGCCCAGGAAACTTGTGTCCAAGGTAGTAGATACCTTGAGCGTTGTGCCTTTGGATTCTGAAGCGTTGGTATGGTCAAAGTTAATGCCCCAATTTTAGTAAGTATAATTTGAAAAGACCGAGAAAAATGATGGCGAAATTGCCGGCGACAATCGCAGTAGTGTGAAGGACCGGCCTGATCTTCATAGAAAAATGACCCGCGCGATGCTTGCTGTCATATTGTGGTAGACGTTGAGACAATACGCCCATTGAACCCTAGAACAACCGGCATATTGAACCAGGGTCACGGAACAGGAAGGATTGAAGAATGCGCAGTACGCCACCCCCGGCTGCTGTCTTTTTCGGAGACTCCTGGTCATTGGGCTGTTCCAATGCACTGAAAGTATAATCTTTCAAGAGCACGCAGACAAAACATTGGCTTCTTTACTGTCGTCTGATAGTTTCTGGTGTTTCCTCCTTTCTCTGCCTCTACCCCTTCCATGCGATCCGGAAATGGGCTGCGGGATTAACCACGGTTCGTCGTTGCTCGGCAGCGAATGGCCAGCGTCGCACAGGGATGCTCGTCAGGACGTCGAGATATCAATACAGCCACCAACGGGCGGCAAAAAGCATCCGACAACGGGAAATGTTCCTTCGAAGGCCAAGCTGAGACAATGATGACAACTTCAGTCCATGATTTGTTTGATGAAAATCCATGCGGTTCTCGCCCTAGTGGCGGGATCTCACTTAGCAAAAGTTAAATCGAAGTATATATTTAGCACTCTAAAAACTCACCTCTGAGGTACCTGCAGCGACGGATGTACAAGGTAGGGCTTGCTAAAGTTACCCTAATAATGATTCGGACAATTTCAATGCTTTATGTGTCGCATGGAAAATAGTGAAATGTAGCCTTTTCGAAGTGATAGATCACGAACAGTGGAGCCGGAGAAGGCTCATTCGAGGTGGAGCTCCGGCACGGGGAGTGGCCGACCTACTACATCTTCCCTTTCAAGGATACAGCTTGTAGTGATGGAGGGACTCACCGCCCCTGCACGTGTCGGCAAGGAGAGAACATTTTCATCACTTCTCGGCAGTGTCAATGGCTTGCGATCTGCTATTGTCTAGCCCAAAGCGGAACGCACCCTGTCCTATTTAGGACGAGCACGGCCATTGCCCACGGAGATATGTATAGAGTTCGAGGGGAAGAGTGAACGAATGATGCACAACATCCCCCCTCCCATTACCACGGCCTTCTATTGACTGTCTCCCCGGCCAATCATTAGCTGTCGGGTGCTTTTCCAGAGTCCTGCGCATTGCACACTACTCACCCAACTAGCCTGCTGCAGCCTGGCCGATCTGCCCACTAATGCAAGTTCTGTCGACACGAATCGGACCGCACTCCCACTTCGGGGTCCTGGGGTCTCTGGATCTATGGTTATTCCTTCCACCCTAGATGTTTATTTCCACTGCCCGAGCAGGCCGGAAGTTCTTTCCTGAAGAGCTGCCGCGTAAGCCATGTATTTTACCTTTCTTGCCCTTTCTTGTTTTTAGGCCCCCCTGTGGGGGCTATATCCAGATTAGGGCTCCCTTGGTGTGAAGGAGACAAGAGCCCCAGGCTAGGGGTCAAAGCTCATTGGAGGTGGAGCGGGATGTGTCTCGGGCCGTCCATGGCTGCATACAGTCTCCAGCGACGCCATGTTATTTTCTCGCTTCGGTTTGTCGGTGAGGATGTCGCCAGCACAGGGAAATGCAGTTGTTGTGTAGAGAGCTGCCGATCGGCTGATCTGATTTTCTTCATGTAGAAACTAAGCTACTGCTCGTGCTTCTCAAGTATTTTCCACAATCAAATAATTGCCACCTCTCGGTGACGACTCCGACGGGCGTGTCAGAAGTGCCAGAGAGTAGTGACAATTTATGGTTTTCTGCTTTCTCACTGGCCCTTTCCCACAGGGATGTGATGAGAATGGAACCCGCCTATTGGCTCCCTGCGAGTTCCATGGTCTGATACATCATTCTCTGTCATGCGACTGGGGGCTACACGGGTTGCCGGGGGGGTTGATCATCACCTCTAGCCTTTTTCGTTTCATCTTATTTCATTTTCATGCAGTGACCCGCTTTATCGGGTGTTCGCGCTGCCACATCTGACTTCATCGGGGCCACTTGGCCGTGGACATTACACCCTGTTGCCTGTCATTGAACAATCACTATACTGTGCCTTACCCATCTCGTATCGGCCGCTGTCCGTGCAGCTCGGTTTGAGCCCTTGAGACTTGGCTTCTAGAGCCTGTAACATGGTGGCTCCGACCAATGACATGCGTCATCAACAACTAAATTGATGAAGATGGCTCCAACGATTAGTTGCTACAGTTCCGCAGATGGATAATCATCTCCAGATTTCTTGCGCCTCTATTACATGAAGAAAATATAATAAAAAGCAAAAATGGAATTCCAAAATTATCTTACAGATCCCGTGGGCTGGACCGCTCCTGTTGGACCTCTATGCACACTGGCTGCTGGCACCCTTTCTTTGCCCTCCCGAATACAACGTATTTCCCATGTCCCTGGCTGGGTCTGACCGAGCCTAACCACGGAATCTCGTGGCAAGTGTGATGAAAGGGTCGCCTCTTGGCTCGGTCGTGATGCCTGGCCAGACTAACTGGGGGTTGTTTCCACATTAGGAAAGCTACCAGGATCTGGAGAACTAACGGTGGTCTAGTTCTGGCAAGAGGCAGGGCAATCCCCCAGTGCAGAACGCTGGAAAATGGAAACTCGTCATCACCCAGACACGTTTATCTATCATTGCGCATCAAATATTAGTTCATGAGGCTCCATCCCCCTTACCAAAGATCCTAAAGGGCCCTTTATTCAAGCTACAACCAGTCGTTGGCTCCATCATCAGCCCAGCCACTGTCCTGCACTAGGACCCTCCAAAAGAAATTACTCTCAATGTGCCACTGGGGTCATCCTGTGCATTTGGTATCAGGGCTTCTATGCTTGCTTGAGCTTCTCACTACTAGCGAGATTTTCTTCAATACAGTGCATGCAGGCGACTTGCCCATCAATGCCGCTGGTGGCTTGATCTGCTAATTTGTACACCCAGTCGCACTATATTACAACAGTAAGTTCCTTTTTATTAGTACGTTTTTTTCCTTTTTCTTTTTGTTTCCCCTTTCTATTACTGCCATTATTATTTTTATTTTTTCATTCTGCGCCTGTCATCCCAGGACTAGTGCCGGCGGACCTTGCTCCTGCTTTGACCATTGTTCCAATTAAGCTCTTTAACTAGCTGGGCAGAAACTCCGCGGGCCTATGTGAGCCTCTCAATTAAGACATCATGCAATCTGCCAATATCTGGTGACGCATTTGTGGACGAGTCAGCGAACCCCATTTCTTTTCTTTCTGTCTTCTGCTCCCTCTTCTCTTACTTGAGGCTCCGTATCTTCACATCTTCACTCTCTTCAAGCATGCTCTCATTTTATCATTCACTTCCGCTCTCTTAATTTCCTCTCCACTCACTTCGCTTCATTTCTTGCAAAATCGCGCCGGTTTTCCACATTTCCCTCTTTTCTCCTCTATAACACGTCGGCTTCTCATCTCTGATACCTTTGGTCCAAAGTCCGCGACTTTCCTGTTTCAGAGCGAGGTTCGCCACCAATTTCAGCATAGTTTTTGTGAGAAAACTTCACTGAGAACTTTGGCTTGGACCCGGTTACTGACCCTGTTACCAATCTAGACACCGGACTTTGCCACAAAAGACATCAAGGGCCAGGCAACGGCTTAGGCCTCTCGCTGGTGTCACCTTACCTGTCCATACTCAGGGTCCACGAGGAACCTGGCAAAACGCCGCTCAGGATGGATCCCTGTAAGTTTCTCTTCCTTCCATGGTTGTCCCGTCATGCGGCTGGTTAAATATCGCCGCTGGTGACCTTTGCCATTTTCGCATTATTTTTGTATTATTATCTTTTCTGCTCTTCTGACCGACGACGTGCCCAGCGTCTTTTCTTCCAGATCCCTTCCTGAACTGCCCAGCCACCTCCACGGACGGTGACTATTTGGGTGCGCAAGCACTGTGGTCCCATCTGCCGGCGTTTGGGACTGATGAAGACGACAACCATCAGCGAGTCGGAGCTCTCGCCTCGATGCCTGTTACCAACGGCGTGAGGTACAGCGTACAGCAGCCAGCTATGCAGGATTTGCAGTAAGTCGTTCTATTCTTTCAATCTGGACTGTCCTTGCGCGCCACTTGGCTAGCCTCCCCTTGTAAATGCGCTTCCTCCGGGTCCAGGCAGCTTGGACTTTAGTCCGGCCTGTTTCCTTACCTTCCATACCGATCTGCTGCATGCATGCGTTTCTTCCGATGCCTTAGCCCTTTTATCTGGGCTCGTCTCGTGCTTTCCGGCTTCTTCCCCGTTTTTTGCACCCGCCCTCGGCTCTCCTCTCTGTTTTCACATCATGATCTCGGTGCTGCGCTCGGGTTCATTTGAATATCTGGCTTTTCTCTTGCTAGGCGTTCGCTCGCGGAGATTTTGTGGTGATGTAACTTGCTGAACGGGTCGTCTTATAGGTTTCCCGTTTCGACTACGGCTGCAATGACACCCCCGGATTCTTGCTCTGGTATGGCCTAGCCTCATTAATCTTCAATATCGGTTATATTCTAACAAGGGAATCCTTGGGACATACATAGATTCCTTTTCTCCCATTTCTGGTCCTATTTTCCCTCATCCTCCTCAGCATCATTCCTTCGATAGATTTGGCGACTTTAGAGGACTACCACACACTTTGTAAGTATTTCCGCATGTGTCTCAGTTGCTATGGTTGCTTACAGGACTCGATATGCATTTCAGACAGCCTCCCGCTATGTCAACAACCATGCAGACCCTGGGACCCTCAATCAACTCTATCCCGGCATTTATGGGGAGGAATAACGCCTATTCACCTTCTTATTCTCTTCAACGGGGGCTGGGATTCCCGTTGGGCGATGTTCCTCGGGCCCACCAATACACGACCACTCGAGTTCTGGACACTGGCTTCGACCGGAGCCAAAATACTTTGGTTCAGCCCATGATGGAACAAGCTCAACGATCCCAGCCACAGACCGATAATAATTCAGCTCCACCGTTTGAAGAAACATGCGTCCTTGAGTCCATTGTGGCGGATATGGCAGGCACGCAGCACACGATCACACCTGAGGTCCATGCCAAAATGGGTCGAGGATTCTTTCCATCTGAAGGCAAATGGACCTGCTATCGCCGGAATTATTTCGCCGTCACCTGCTCATTTACACTGCAGCCCTGGCTGTCATCGATTCCACTGTATCTTCGCAAGCCAGATCAGACGCTGGAACCCATTCGAGGTTTCGCAATGTCCATCTCTGCTATCGTGAACGGGCAATATGGCGAGACGCGGGATCTGGTGCAGCATACTCCAAAGAGAGATAAGCAGTCCGAGACCAGGCCTGGCCGGGTTATTCTCCAACCTGCGCCGCCCATTTCGCTATCTGCAGGAACTCTTGCAAATGGTAGCAATTCGGCATTTTCGCAGTCGATGGACTGCAATTCATCTTTCACAAATACTGCTCAGCCCTGCCAGCCACCTACGCAGCACATTTTCCAGCGAATTCAGTTCCAAAAGGCGACCGCCAACAATGGCAAGCGCCGCGCGCAGCAACAAACCTACAATCTGATTGTTGAGCTCCAGGCTGAAGTTTACAACCCTATCGATGGCAAAGCTCGATGGGTTCAAGTCGCTCGACGTCAATCACACGCCATGGTTGTCCGCGGCCGCTCTCCTGGTCACTACAAGGATGGTCGTCGGGACAGCGCCGCTAGCATGGGCCCCGATACCAATGCCGGCGACGGCAGCGGAGGTTCTCTCCCTCCCGGAATCGGCCAAGCAGCGCGGTCCCATCTGCTCATGTACGACTCGGGCCATCGTGGTCAGTTCGGTAGAACAGACTATCGACACATGCCTACGGCAGAGCATTCCCCGCTGAGTGACAGTCCTTTGATCTCGTCGTCTTCTTCGTCGGGGTTTGACTACTCAATCATGAATGATACGATGGACCCAATGGATACGCTCAAGACTGATCCCTATCTCAAGACCGATCTCTACCACGACCCGACCTTCGCCGGAGTTCCCGGCCACCAGCACAGGCAGCAGACCAATTCTGGAGGATATGATCCTGTCTGCTCGACTTACGGCCGCTACGATCCCATTCAAAACCCGCACAGATTATGTACCTAAGCGGCATGCTTTGATAGCACTGAACGAACCCAATTACGGACTGGAGCATGGAGGCGCGGAAGACGATTCTATGGCATTTGCTTTCTAGTTTCTGGCGCTTCATTTTTTTTTTTTTTTATCTTCGGTTTCTATTTCTCTTTTCTTGTGCCTTATTTTGACACTCATTTGGTCTTCGTTAGTTCTCCGGAAGGACTAGGAAGATGGTTGGCTTGAGCTGGTATCCTGCACCTCGCTTCGCGAGTACACACCACCCGAGTTCTCGCACGCAGCGAAATGTCGGCCAAGGATTCTTTTTTTTTTTTCATCTGAATTTTTCTTTTCTTGTCATGTGTTCTTACAATTAAGATGATTCCTTTCACGAGGAGAGCGAGCGTGCAGAATGCCACTAAAGAACGCGAACCTCCTCCAACTCCATTCAAATTCCTCTATGCACAAGCTGCGTAATTCCCCGATTTGCTACATCCCACTCCTAATTGTGGCCTGACCAGGTCAGGCCCGATCGAATCCTGTGGAAGCTGAGAATCTGCAGCTTTGCTTTTCCTCTAGCTTGTTTCTTTCTTGCATTTCTATCTTCTTTTTTATAGCCAATAAACTTGGGGCTTGCAGAGGCAATTGACAATACGCAGCTCTGCAGTACAAAGGAATACAGAAATAAGCAGGGATCCGCTCTGGCTAATGTGGCGTATTTTTATTGATGGTTCCAATAATAAATCTGGAAAGAAAAACGAGAACCCAAACAAACGCTGCCAAGGGAAGACTTAGGCCTATCTGGGACAGCGTACATGTCGCCAATCAGCGAGCGCGAGCAGTAGCTTTTTTGGCCTCTGCTAGGCAGCAAGAATCTGCTTTTTTTTTTTTTATGTAGATGCATATGTACAGTGCAAAATGTACGATGAATATGCAAGTTGTGTCTTTGCTTCTTTCAACAATTCGAGATGGAGCACTAGGGTCATCGGGTGATCGACGCCAGCTGATCGACAGTCCCATGCGGGTCGTGGGGTATTGCATTCTTCAGCTAAGCCTTGTTTTGACCTGCCGAGAGTTAAGACACCCGCAGCGGCAATCAGGAGACTACACTAGGAACAAGTTGAGATGCAGAACTAACTAGTCTGGATATTATTAAGTATCTTGGTTTTTATTGATCTCATACATTATCCTCTGATGGATGTGCAGTACATGTTTCGATCATCCGCAGAACTATTTACTATACCCGAATGCAGAAATACATTGTCAAACAAATGAAATCTTGCTTCTGCACATCCGCACCTATCATTTCCGGTGCTTGAATTGCCGGCATTGCAGGCAATGCAAATGCAATACCCAATCGATGCATCTCGTGTGGCCTGAAGTTCGGACAGATACTTGCTAAATATTGCCACTGATAGGGAAGGTGCATTTGAATTCCAGATCAGGTTACGTAAATAATAGTTATTTGCATTTAGTCGGATATTCCTAAGGTGATATATGACCCAACAGCGCACCAATATCATCCACGTATTTCTTGTTGATCACCCGTAGCAGCGACTACAACAAATAGATAGTGTAGAGACGGAGGCTTGAAAAAAGGGGGAATCGGAATTTTGAATTATGAGCACCTGATCCGCGCAACTTGTACGTCGGTCCTGCGCATTGTACAAGTTTATTGGGGCGAGCAATTGAGGTCAGTCTTGATCACTTGCCCCCAGTTTTCATTTTCTTATTTTACTGTCCGTGCGCAACTACCCGAGGATGGAATGGATTGAGTCTAATACAGAAGACTAGAGAAGAGAAACAGAAATATGCACCCGCCCGGGCCTTCTGCCCAACAGCCGTTGTAGAATCTCTTCGAATCCGACTTTGTTGCACGGCAGATTCGGAGCTGAGGAGGAAACAGTCCCGCTACATAATAGATGGGTTGAGATTGGCTTCGTTCTAAGGCTTAGCAGTGCACTGCAAAGAGTATGTATATCGGGATAAATAAACAAGGATGAAAGCACGTTGTCTTAGATGCTGAAAGGCTGGAAACGGGCATGCGTAAATCCAGCGCCAGAAAACGGAATATACTTGATCCTAGTCAACATGCCGGGTAGGGCGTAAACTGCGCCCAGGCAACAACCCATTTCTTGATGCTGGAGACACGGCATCTACTAGACCCTGGGTTGGTGGTGCGACAACCATGAGGTGCCCGGGTTCCTCACTTTCAACTCTTTTGAGATTTTGAGCGAGCCGGGAAATGGATTGGTTCGCCACTCACTCTCATTCTCGTGCTTCGACGCCTGTCTTATCTCCGAAAGGGTCGAACCATCCTGTCAGTCATGCCGCTTTGACGTTCGGGGGCCCAAGCGGCATAGTCAGCTCTCTCTTTTCTTCTCATCAAGACAGGATTTGGTTGGTTGTGGAAGAGCGCAGAACCTGTCCGATTGGCAAAAAAACCCTCCGGGTTTTGAAATGCAACTGGGCAATCCTTTTTAAGGGACAGATGTTCGATCTTCTCCGGGTTTCCACGTCAACGGCTTTCGAGCAGCCTGTTTCACTGGGGAACAAATATCCCGAGAAACACGTGAAGGAGAAGAAAACATCCCGGGATGGCCATGGATCCCTGACAATCCATCCCCCGTGCGACATGCACAGCCAAGTCCCCGAACTTTTTCTGAACCTCAAGCAGCCTCGACGAGTCTTTTGCAGCAATTTTGGCGTCTGCTCGCCCACCATCCGGACCACGTTCCCATTTGAAACATTGACAAGGCGGAGATTAAAATACGACTCTCTTTGTCATGGTTGGCTGTTGCTGCGCTGAGAGGCTGGCGGCTCTCGATTTGAACTGGGGCACCTGGTTTGTCTCACTATACAAGACGGTTCCAGGGAGGTCCGCAATCAGGATCAGAGGCATGCAGGCTTCACCCGGGGACTGTCATCAAACAGGCTGACCGGCCGTAGATAATCGGAACGAATGACCGTTTGCATGGTTGCCGGCGCGCGTGGATGGTAGGGCTCAGGCATAGATGCAAGACCGCGGCAAGGTAGTTACGGCCTCTTCCCGAACGACAAACAGCACGGTCCGATTTCCCGTGGAAGGGGCACGTGGAATGTGCTTTGGCCAAAGAGCGGGAAGCTCGCAAGCCGGTCCTCCCACTTGGACAAAAGCACACATTGGACCAGGACGTTCACTCACGACCTCTCAAGTTGCAAACCCCAAAGCCCAACTCGATCTCATCATTCCGAGTCTGAGCCATCTGTCGGAGTGAGCAGCACATTGCCTTTCCCCCTCATAGCCTCTATAGGGCTAAAAAGACACTGGCTTGCCAGCTCATTGAGAATTTCCCTTGTCCTCCGCACCGACCCTCGAAACTTTCAGCGCCAATTTCCGATCCAGCGCCTCCTGCTCTTCCTTTGAAGCTTTCATTCCCATCGCATCCTCCACCTGCGGTGCCGTCCACAACCCGATCGTCGCCCACGCCATGACGCCGACGCCGAACAGGGCCCGTGTTTTTGGCGAAAGAGAACGGTATGAGCTAGATTACTAAGAGTTAGCAATTCTTCTTCGTGTTTAAGTAATCTATTTCGCCATCACTGTTTACTTACCTCCAGAGAGACATTGGAACTGGATCAAGGTTTGCTTTTGGGTGGGCGTGTCAGTGCGAGAACACTCAGCATCAGATGAGGCCGGGTGTCACATGACCAGTATTTATGCCTGAGGCGAGTTAGGGTTCCCACGCTCTGACAAGTAGTAGCTTCGAATTGTCAGGATTACAATTGAAAAAAGAGCAAATAGAGTACCGAAAATAGATACGACGAGATGTTTACTTGGGGGAAACGGAAATTGGTGAAGAGCCAGTATGTAACCGAACTTTTGTACCTAGCTAACCGCCATAAGAGAAATGTGCAAGAAGAACATACAGATGATTGGTGGCATGTACGCCCCTGAGGCTCCTCAAGCAGATGCAATGTAAACCAAGGCAGATAAGATCAAAGAAAAAGCAAAATAACAAGAAGGGTGGAAGCTTTCCTTCAGTAGTGGTATCCTACCATGTTCATTGCGGTGTGCTGGACCTCCGATAGCGGAAATGTTGCTTCAGATTTGCAAGGGAAAAGAGGTATTACGTATTGATAAAATGGGTGAAACGTAGACCCGGCGGGGAAGAACGAAGGGGGCCTGGCGCAGCCAGGAGAAATAAATCAGCGACAGGAGAGAACAGGGAAAGTTTTTCGGTCGTGGACGTTGATCTGGAATTCAAAGATTCCTTCCAGGGTCGCGATGTACCTGCAAAATGTCAGTGAAAGCTTGATTAATGCCCCAGTTTGTACACGTACAAGGTTCTGCCGTCAGCTCCCCAGCCAACACCAGCAGTGGAGTCTGGTTCTTCAGCACCGGGGCCATGAATCAAGCTTCGGTCTGGGAGGTCATTGATGATGTTTCTGATCCATCGGGGAGAGTGCGCCTGTTCAAATCCTAGGAATTGTTGACGATGTCGATGTTCCCGTTCAAATGAACGGTTATGTACTTCGTTCGCGATCTGCCGTTGGCGCCGAAGCCGCTCTGCGGCTACATTCGCTCGAATCTCATAGTTGCTTAGACGTGACGGGTCATATCGCCTTTCCGAGCCACTTGGGGCACGTTCGGTCCGTCGGGGTGTTGAGCTGGAGCGCTGGGACCTCAGGCGAGTCATTCCTTCCGAAGAGAGTCCGAAGTCCAGTGTGGCGGGAGTAGGTCCTGTCACTTCGGGGGGTCTCATCGGCCGGCTGCTTTCATGTCCGACGTCAATGTCAGGGTCAACGTTTCGCGAAGTACTATCAGATTCGGTAGACTGCAGTTCAGACGGCGGTGTTGTCCAACTGAGGGTGATACTTGGCTGGCGATCATGGGTGGTAGTACCCGTTTCCGAAGAACGGCTTCCCTGGGACAGCACAACCGAGCTCTGGCGCCGTGGACTGGGACCAAGATCACCGTCACGGGAGATATTTCGGGGGGAGTCGTAGAGATTCGGAGGGGACGTAGGACGCGAGGCTCGCATGGTCCCATCTGTAGAGCCATGGACTCGCATACGCACCGCTGGGTGAGGTTGGAGAGCTACCCTAGCTGGCCTTTCCGGTCGCTCGGTGAGACCCTCTTCGAGCCTGGATGTGAAGCGTGCGTTGTTCAAAAAGTCCATGATCAATCTCTCTCGTTCTGTGAGATCTTGGATCAAGGTATCGCGTAATGAAGTACGATCAACGCCCTCTCCTGTTTCATTCAATTCCTCGTCGAGTCTGGTTCGAGAAGTCGCCCCCATGCCTTCATCTTCCATGCGTTGGCTCTCGGAATCGTCTGAAAATGGCTCCATATGTACTTCTTGCAAATCGGGCCCGTCGGCATCTAGTTGAAGGATTTGCCTGCGTAAGAATGCCTGGCGCACATCGGCGACTCCAGCCCTGCCATGGCCTTCCAACCAGACCAAGAGATCCCACGGCTCTGGCGAGAAAGTCATGCAACGGACAGCACCCCCTTCAGAGCAGGATCTAGAAGCTGGGAATTGACAAATAACCGGGTTGCTGCTGTCCGCCTCACCAGCTTTCTTGTGGATAGTTTCCGTGTCAATGACAGTGACAATCCCCGACTGCGATCCGACAGCGCACAGATGACTTGACGGGGAGAAAGCCACGGTAAAGCAAGTTGCATCATCCGGCCGCGGGCCGATATCCATTTCGACACACCATGTAAGGTCGAACTCCCATCCTGTCAGTCTTTTGCCTGAATCTGTTATCACGGTCGATTCCCAGTCACGAGAGATCTTATAGAAGTAGGCCCGATCTTCATCTCCAACGGCGGTCAATAATTTGGAGTCGGGGGATATGGTCGCATAGTTCATGTATTTTGGATGATCAAGGACCTTGAGTACTGTAGCACGGGTCAGAGAATAGACAGTAACTGTGCAATCGTTATTGCTATATGTAAAGGTCAGCTTGGCAAAAATGCTAGGGTGGCTGTCTTTTTAACCTTACCTCAAGACCATCACATCTTCATCGGCTAGGCTGTCTTTGTCTCCAGGAAACCGGTGGATCGTCACAGAGTTCACAATACTGCCACCAAACTTGTGAAGCTCCACTTCTGGAAAACGATTTTGAATAAGACGGCGAGCTCGTGGTGAGTCCCCACGTGCGGTGTCTGGTGATACTGATCTTGTAAGTGGGTCGAGGTCCAGTGGAAGCGCACTATCGACATCGGAGTGTTGCGACAAGGAACCATGAGCCTGCATGCCTTGATCACCGATTCGAATGAATGCGCATTCGCCATTCTCTGGACCTCCCACCCCGATCCAGCCATACGCAGCAGCCAGAGCTCGGGGCTCGAATGGTATGGCAGCTATGCTCTCCCGCTTCTGGGCCGATATGTGGATTGCGTAAATTATTCGCTCAACAATAACATAAATCCTATCGGGGTCGGCAGTGCTGATGTAGTGGCGAAGCTGCGTATGGCTAAAAGCAAGTCAGTTCTGCGGAGAGCACAGCTCCGGGAGCGGGGGTGGACGGACAAGTTGGGGATCCTGAAGGGGAAGAACCGGCGCTTGGCCGAGAGAATGAGAGACTCGGTCGGATGATGGCTGTGCGCGCTGAATATTAGCTCTGTCGTGTGCTGGTGCGGAGCGACTCACAGCAAAGTCGAGTCCGAGGTCATGATGCTCGCTTGGCCGGTGGCATTGTTCGAATGGGTGGCGGAAGTATGGCGTTGACTTGCCAGGTTGACCGCAAGACGGATGGATGGTAGGGAGAGGCGTAGGCCACCAAATTTCGCACGACAGAGGTGACAAGACAGAGGTGAACGCAATAAAGTAGCGTCGCCTGATAACTAGCTCATTGGCGGTGATGACGTAAGGCATTGTCCGGGGATCGGATGCGGGTGGCCGCAAGCAGTGACATCGCGATGAGATAACCGGAGAAAGTATACTGATAACAATTATTATTATCGAGATAGTTAGCTGCTATTTAGTGTCCTTTCATTATGTACCGTGTGCCTTAGCCTACTATTTCAATTGAATGTGTGTGAATATATATTTTAGCTGGTGGCTAGCATTGCTCGCTACTGACGCATTTCAGATCTTGTAACCCATCGATGCCTTTCTCAAAGACCTCACCTGGAGAGGACCTAAAATGGCTTTGTGAACACTGTCCGTCTTCCCCTAACATATGTGATCTTCATTGGGCTTGTTCCATAATATAAACTTCCTTCTTTCCAAAGACAATACCGCGATGGCAGAACGATAGTTAATTACAGAGCTCAAAGGGGGCCGTGTACTTACTAGATCAGAGAGATTTTCAGTCGACGCAGGTGGTGATCATGGGATGGCCGATTTCACGTTTATCATTGCACTACGAGGATGGGTGTTCCGATTTGCCGCTCGCCTGCCTCAGCGCAGCGGTCTGTAGGCCAAGATTCTTTGGGCTCTAGAAGCCGGGGGTTTGGCTCAGGCGGAATGTCATCTTCTCATATTCCTTCCTAACAGTCACATCCTGGCGGGCCCCATATGTTTGACAGGATATCTGAGAAACTGAGAATCGTTTCGAATGTTTCACGTTCAAGGATAGCTTTTCCATGAGACAGGGCTTCTCAGGAAGAGACACCACCGAGCACACCACATACAGAGAGGGTTGACCTTCTTGATGCTCGAGCAACCTGACAATCCCCGGAAAAGCCTGACCGACTCCTTGCTCTGTCTGCGGAGGCTGTTGATCGGGTGCTGGTAGTTGCGTCGACGACAGGGTAGTTGAAGGACGTCAGTGTTGTACGAAGAGCATATCTTATTGCCGACGTATGAATACTCCTCGAAAACGCTCTTCAAATGTTGCAGTGCACGACATGCTTCCGCGCCATCCAGCTTGTCTCTAATCCAAGCCGGATATTGTTTGATGAACCAGGAAAGCCATAGAACAGAAATGAGTAGTATATCCAGGAAGGCAAAAGCCGGGGAATGTTTGTGGGAGAAGGAGAAACAAGAACGATTGCACTTGCCTGCTACAGACCATGTATACTCCCTGGGGCCTCGGCAGAATGCAGGGCGGTGGACCAGTCCCGTGACCCGCCGGATTTCCACCAGCTTCGACGGCCCGAAGCTTCCCGCGCAATTAAATTTCTACCCTTCCGTTTTTCCTCCTGCTTCCATCCCCTTCATCTCCATCTCCATCTCCCATCCTCCCTCCCACCCGTCTCACTCCTCTGCGATTGAGCCGTCGGATTATATCCCCTTTTTCTCTTTGCTGTATTATTTAATTTCTCTGCACAATGCTGGCGTCTCGCTTTGCTCGCGCGGTATGTTTTTCCCGAGGCAAACGAAAAAAAAGGTCACGCATAACTGACTTCATCGCGACAGCTCCCGCGCACTGCTTCCCTCCCTCGCGCCCCCGTCTCCAGAATCCCCGGCGCCGCATTTCGGCGATGGAACTCGACGGAAGGTGGTGAGGAGAAGGTCAAGGGCCAGGTCATCGGTATTGATCTGGGTAAGTGCTCGCGTGGCCATGAAGAGTCCTTCGGACCGCTGACTGACATCGTTGCTTCTAGGTACCACCAACTCCGCTGTCGCTGTGATGGAGGGAAAGTCCCCCAAGATCATTGAGAACGCTGAGG